CTAATGTTCTTCTAACTCCATTTTACTATCAGCTCTCATCTCAGGAGGACTGGGGAAAGAAAAACTTGGTGATTTTTCCCAACCTTGACAGATCTTGAGGTGTGAACTTCACAGAGAGAAGCTTGTGCATATTTAATAGAAACAAACCAAAAAGTAATTTTACAAACATGTTTGATTCTCCCTGTGGAAATCAACACCTGCCCTTTCACTGCTTAATGTCATTATTATGATGAGTTTGGAAGTTCTGAAGGGATCCAGCTATGCTTATCACTAGGAAAAAATGTGGTAGCCATGTTCTATAGAGAGTAAAGCTGTCAACCCCAAATGACAGACCTGCATGTTGATTTCCCATAAGACCCTCTTTATGTCCAGTAAAAGAGAGCCAAGTCCCCCTTTAACAGGCAGCACTCTTGGCAGAGACAGCTGACTATTGCCTGGTTTGTCACTCCAAGGGCATATTTGAATTACAATCTGTTGACTGTTTAAATATAACAACTCATAAAAGTTTATCCTCCTTGAGACATTCAGTACTTTGACCCTGACCTCAGTTCCCTATCACTTTCCTAGCCTCAGCTTTTTCTCTATCTGAACAAAATGACCTCAGTGACAGACACCCTCATGACCATTTTCGATTTTTTTTTTTTTTTTTTTTTTTTTTGAGACGGAGTTTCGCTCTTGTTACCCAGGCTGGAGTGCAATGGCGCCATCTCGGCTCACCACAACCTCCGCCTCCTGGGTTCAGGCAATTCTCCTGCCTCAGCCTCCTGAGTAGCTGGGACTACAGGCACACGCCACCATGCCCAGCTAATTTTTTGTATTTTCTTTTTAGTAGAGACGGGGTTTCACCATGTTGACCAGGATGGTCTCGATCTCTTGACCTCGTGATCCACCCACTTCGGCCTCCCTAAGTGTTGGGATTACAGGCTTGAGCCACCACCCCCGGCCCATTTTCGATTTTTGCTTCTTTTGAACACTTTACAGATCCTCTGTGTTAAGTCCAATCATTTCTTTTTCCACTATTGCTCCCATGTTTAAAGTCTATCTAGGACGACGGCCTTAGAGTTATGTCCACTTGCTGTGCTTCACATTTATGGTTTCCAGCCTAGACTGAGCATTAATCTCTATACCTTTTTAGACATAGCTAGGGTTGGGCACGGTAGCTCATGCCTGTAATCCCAGTACTTCGGGAGGCAGAGGCAAGTGAATTACCTGAGGTCAGGAGTTCGAGACCAGCCTGACCAACATGGAGAAAACTCATCTCTTCCAAAAAACAAAATTAGCCAGGACTGGTGGTGCATGCCTATAATCCCAGCTAATCGGGAGGCTGAGGCAGAAGAATCACTTGAACCCAGGAGGCAGAGGTTGCGGTAAGCTGGGATTGCACTCAGCCTTCACAACAAGAGCTAAACTCCGTCTCGACAACAACAACAACAACAACAAAGACATGGTTCTAAATAATGATTGCAGTGTTTACGGTGTCTACACAACACATCAGGGTCTGCACCCTGCATTTTACATTAAGTATCTTTGTTGGCACTTTGGATGTCCTATAAGGTAAAAATGAGGCTGAGGAAACAGACAAAGAAACAAGAAGTTACATTTGTCCTGTTTTAAACAGGTAGAAAATGCCAATGGAGTTGCAATCTCTGGTTTCTCTCACACCCACTCCCCTGCTCACAACCAAGCCCTCCATCAGCTCTTTCCTCTCTATGCTAAGACAGTTGCCAAAGTGTGGGGGTGGAGGTTCTGGCAAAAAATTCTTAAAGCATGTGTTGAAGAATTATGTATGTATTTAAAAACACATCAGCCTAATGGAGAAATCTCAGAAATTTTGAAAATGCATAAAAATATACATATATAAAGAAAACGATTCATAATCTCCCTATGCAGAGGGGATGACTATTAACATCTGATTCTTTACAATGTTAAATAATTTAACATCTTTAAGTAATTTGACATTTTTAAACAAAAGCCACTTATTTATATAATTAATATATAATTATGATATATACATATACACAGATATTTGGAAGATATTTGTAAGTCAGAGAACTAATATTTCCAACTACTAATAAATGATGTTACAAAACTATGAAAGAATAAAATATCCACTCAAAATGCAAGATAAACCAACAGTGTTAATATAATAAAGCACAAAAGATTACCAATATGGTTTCAGATTCCACATTGTAAATAACTTTTAAGAAGCTACAAAGTTTTGGTGTTCTCTCAAGGAAAAGTATACAGAATTACCTGAAAACTAGTTGAATTTGTCTACCTCTTCCAAATGCACATGCATATAAATGCAAACTGTCTTCATTTACTTCAATCAAAAAAAAAATTTTTCTCAAAGGATTGAATAAAGAAGCAGGTATAAGAGTCCAGCTGTCTTCTACTAAACCAGACATTAAAATGTTAAATTATATTAAAACATAAATGTTAGAATGATATCAAACCTTAAGTTTTGGAAAGTATAGATTTTTAAAAATAAGTAATATATCTTTAATGAGAACATGAAATAGGTTTATTGTCGTTATTGTTAAATAGACAAATAAATATATTTTATTTTAAATTTAAATTTCTAATTTGATAAATATAGGTAGACAGAGCATACATAAACTAAAGTTAATTGGGCCCTCAACAATTTTGAAAAATATGAAAGGTCCTATATTCTCAAACTTTGAGAACTATGATCTAACAGAAATGCACTTGCCAGTCCTCAGAGGGAGGTGTTTATCACAGTACTGACTGCAGCATCACCCTACATACTGATACAGTGTGACTAGATAAGTAACAATCATAATAATTCATGCAGTATTTACCACATCCCCTTGTTGTTTTGTTTATTATATGATTAAGTTGTATACTTGTTACAACAAACTTATGAGGAAGGCATGGCTATTACTTTTATTTTGTAGATAAGAAAGTGAACCTTGAGATGTTCATGACTTGCTGGTAAATAGTGGAGGCCACAGATTAAGCCCAGAGTCTTACATTAGAGTCTATGTACTTAATTGTTGTTCTATGGGAGTTCCTGTAAAATGTGGTATTTGAATGGAACAAAGCAGCTTGAAGCAGTAGGTGAGGACTGCCTAGCCTTGCATGGGTAGATGCCTTACAAATAATGTTTTAAAAACCTGGGAAGAGGGAGGTGTTTTGCATGGTTGAAATAGAGATGATCAATGTATGTCACGAATCATAGTTTATTGCTATATACTATGGTTTGAATGTCTGTCCCCTCCAAAATTCATGTTGAAATCTAATAGCCACTTTATCAGTATTAAGAAGTGGCATCTTCAAAAGTGTTTAGGCAGTGAGGGTTGGGTAGAATTCATGCCATTATAAAAGGGCAAGTTACACCCCATTTTGTCTTTTTTTCCTCCTACCTTCCACCGTGTGAAGACATGGTGTTCCTCCCCTCCGGAGAATGCAGTATTCAAGGTACCATCTTAAAATCAGAATCACCAAACCAACAGTGCCTTCATGTTGGCGCAGCCTCCAGAACTGTGAATCAAAGAATCTCTGTTTATAAATTACCCAGTTTGTGGTATTCTGTTACAGCAGAATACCATATAAGAAGAAGTTTTATTCCTTAGGTTCACAATGCTGAAAGAGAGGGAGAATAAGAACAAATCTCACAGGAAATACGCTTGATAGATGAAGTACATTGACTACAAAGTGAGTGAGTTCCAAAATTACTGAAGTGTAATTGCTCAGTTAGGACAGTAGCAGGCCTCTGTACAAAGTTAAGTCTACTTAAAGTTTGAGGTGTATATTTATCTCAGCTTCTCAGGTGAAACTGTCATGACTGATAAAGCAGAGATCTTAGATTACAGGCAAGGTGACTGGTGTTGGCAGGGTTTCAGAGATTATCTCAAAGGGTAACAGGGTGTGGCTCTGTCAAGGCTGAGAGTTCAATCTTCTGAGAAACAGCTGACAGTGTAGCCCGTACACAACATATGTAGGGAGGTAGCTCACAGAGTGAAGACTACTGTGGTCTAAGCTCTCAGATTGTGTGTATATGTATATATATATATATGTATGTGTATATATATATGTGTGTGTGTATGTATATATATGTATATATAGACATATGTATATATACGTATATATATACACACACGTGCACACACACACATATATACACAATATATGCCATATATATACACAATATAATATATATACATGTATATATATTGTGTATATATGGTATATATATGTATATATATTGTGTATATATATGTATATATATATATATATTGTGTGTATATATATATATATGGTATATATTGTATATATACATACAAATTCCATTTGACCCAGCAATCCCATTACTGGGTATATACCAAAAGGATTATAAATTGTTCTATTATACAGACACATGCACATGTATGTTCATTGCAGCATTGTCTATGATAGCAAAGACCTGGAATCAACCCAAATGCCCATTGATGATAGACTGGACAAAGAAAAATTTGGCACATATACACCATGGAATACTATGCAGCCATAAAAAACGACGAGTTCCTGTCCTTTGTAGAGACATGGATGAATCTAGAAACCATCATTCTCAGCAAACTGACACAAGAACAGAAAACCAAACACCGCACGTTTTCAATCATAGGCAGATGATGAACAATGAGGACACTTGCGCACAGGGAAGGGAACAACACTCACAGGGCTGGGTGGGGGAGATGGAGGGGAACGAGGGGGAGGGGCAGGGAAGATAGGGGAGGGATAACACAGAGGAGAAAAGCCTGATGTAGGTGACGGGGCCGGGGGGTGGAGACAGCAAACCACCATGGCATGTATGTACCTATGCATCAATCCTGCAGGATGCAGGACGTGCACATGTACCCCAAACACAATTTTTTTAAAAAGTCATGATCTAAAAAAAAAAAAAGGACCACAGGCTTCTAGCAGGAAATGGAAAGGGAAGAACTACTGAGTGGAGTTCAAACTCCTCGCCTGGCAGAGAGCAGCTGACTATAGACTGTCCCTCCCTGTCTCCCTCCACACCTTCTTTCCTCCGGGCCCAACCCCATTCCACCTGCACCCCGCCCCAGGCACACTGACTAGGACGCCGGGACTAAAGTGACAGCTGACTCTGCTGGGTCGGAGTGCGCGCCCTCCCAGTGCCGGCGCCGCACTGACAGTCCCCTGACAAAGGAGGTGCAGCCGCAGCCCCGCTCTAGGCCAGCGGCCAGGCGCCCCGCGGACAATGCTCTCCAGCCTGCGGAACCGGGGACCCCGTGGCTTCTATCGGCCCGTCCGCGGGGAGCTGGATGAGCAGGTAAAGTTCGCTGGTCCTTAGGGGAGAGGAGAGGAGGCTGGTCGTGGGGCCACTGTGGGTGGGGGAGTGGAAGTGGAGAGAGGTGAGTCCTCGGACCCTGAATGTGGACTTATGAGCCCTTGTTTCAGTTGTCATCACACGCGGGATAAACAGACCTGCATTCACACTCAATCCTGAGAGCAGAGAGCAGAGATCAGGGTGGGTGCAGCTTGAACCAGAGGGAGCTCAGTCTTGGTGGAGCTGGATGAGAGGAAGAGGAATCTTTGAAGAGATAAGTAACTCCCCCATAAACAGAGAGCGTGCGCGGACCTGTTATCGCTGAAGGAACACAGGTTGGAGTGGAATTCTGCAACCAGTGGGTGGTCCCATTAAACCCGGAGAGCATTGGGGATTAATAATACTCAGTGTGGATTTTGATACCCAGGTCTGGGGCAAATTCAGAAATTTCAGACACTTGATTGTGCTTTGCTCTGGCACAGGATAATTCACGCTTTTACAATGGGAGTCCGGTGCTAAGACTGTAGTGAGAGAAACGAACCCTTCAGTTGTGTATTAGCAACAATTTTCCTAACAAAAGTTCCGTTTGTTTCTCTTATCACCACTATACAAGACATGGACTTAGAGACAGCCCTAACAAAGAAAAACAATATGATCCCAATTCAGTGGCACTTGTTCTAATCCTGGCTTTTTTAGTAACTCTGAGTGTCAAATAAATGTGACATCTATTCTGATCACATACAAAATCAAACTATAAATTTATTATTATTTTTTTTACATGATGCCGTTATGGCTTGTCCTAATACAGTTTACAGAAATCTAAGGAAATGATCAGCATTCTGCAAATTAAATGCCAGACTTTGGAACAAAGTAATAATGATACTTATTACTATTTACCTCATGTCAAATTTAAATGGCATGATGTATATAAAACATTCAATTATATTTGCCCGATATATAGATGATACTCAATAGGTATGCAAAAAAAAAACCTCATGAAGTATAGAATCTTAAGCATAGCAATTAGTTTAATAAGCTATTTGTTTAATAAACTTTTATAAAATTTATACATTTTAAATAAATTTATTTCAAATTAAGCTACATGTAAACTACCTTTATAAAAGTCTATGAAATAGAAAGGCTAAATAAGTTCCTTGAAAATGTGAGAAAGCTCCATCACTATAGCATGCTTTTTTTTTACTGTACCATAGAGATGGCAGGCTCAATTGGGTAAACTGCTTTAATATCATTAGTGAAACAGCAAAGGTGACCAAAGGCAGTAAATTATAAACTTGTAGTTGAAAAAGTGTAAAACTCAATTTTGTCACACAAAATTCTAGTCAGTTCTTCCTCTAGTATTCAAGAACTGTTTGTTTCCTTGACTATTACTGACCTTTGATAGCCTTCATAGATCAAGAATCCACTTAAACAAGGTTGAAAATCTTCATTTTAATTTCATTCTCTATTTATTATTTCTATGATGCCAAATGTTTTAAAAAGTTGATGGTAGCCAGGCACAGTAGCTCACACCTGTAATCCCAGCACTCTGGGGGGCCAGACATGGAGGCACGCTCATGTATTCCCAGCTACTTGGAGGCACTGAAGTGGAAAAATTACTTGAGTCTGGGAAATCAAGGCTGCAGTAAGCCATGTTTGCTCCACTGCACTGAAGCCTGGGCGACATAGTGAGGCACTATCTCAAAAAAAAAAAAGTTGATGACTTCAAAATGTATAAGAAACTCTGTTTACTTACATATCGACTTCATATATATATATATACACACACACACACACACACATATATGTATATATATATTTGGTTTTTGAGATGGAGTCTCACTCTGTTGCCCAAGCTGGAGTGCAGTGGTACGATCTCCGATCACTGCAACCTCTGCCTCCCAGGTTCAAGTGATTTTCCTGCCTCAGCTGGGACTTGAGTAGCTGGGACTACAGGTGTGTGCCACTTGAATAGCTGGGACTACAGGTGTGTGCCACTATGCCTGGCTAATTTTTTGTATTTTTCGTAGAGAAGGTGTTAGCCAGGATGATCTTGATCTTCTGATCTTGTAATTTGCTGGCCTCAGCCTCCTAAAGTGCTGGGATTATAGGCATAAGCCACCTTTCTAACTGAATTTTTATGGCTATTATGGTGACCTATGAATAGATGCTTCTACATATTTTTTGTTGGTGGTGATTAGCATCCATCCATCCATTCAGTCAGTCATCCCAAACTTTAAGCTGGGACATGGGCCTAGAGAAACTAGAGATTTCTCCAGATGCCACAGACAGAGATAAATCAGCTATAGTTTCTGTCTTCCAGGAGCATGCAGTCTAGTGAGAAAGAAGCACCTGTAAGGAAATAATGAGAAAGTTACATAAAATATGAGGGTAAAGTCACTGAATGCCAATCTGAAGGACGTCTTAAGTCCTCCCTGAGGAGTATGTTGAGGTTGCTCTGGTCATACAGAACCTGTATCAGAGCCTTGGACTGGAGTGAAAGGACAGACATTACCAAAGGCACTAAATCCTGAATAGGACTGAAGAACAAGAGCCCGGAGAAGGGAAGCACAAGGAAGTGGGCGAGAGGAAAGGTGTAGGTAGTGAAAAACAGTGTTGCATTAGAGTTGAGAGTGTAGAATCACAACTGGAGGATAGAATAAACTAAGTGGTTTAGATCCTGTTTCTAATACTTCGTTGCAAGATCTTAGGCTAGTTTCTTAAACTCTGGCTATTACTTTCCATTTCTATAAAATAGGGGTGACAAAAATTATTATACCATAAAAGTATTTTACATTTAGTGGAATAATATACTTAGAACAGAGTTTAGCACATCTTTAGTGATTTTAAAAGTTTTATCTGGCTGGGCATGTTGGTTTACACCTGTAATCCCAGCACTTTGGGAGGCCAAGGTGGGTGGATCACCTGAGGTCAGGAGTTCAAGACCAGCTTGGCCAACATGGCGAAACCCCGTCTTTACTAAAAAAAAAAAAACAAAAATTAGCCAGTTGTGGTGGTGAGCACCTTTAATCCTAGCTGCTCAGGAGGCTGAGGCAGGAGAATTGCTTGAACTTGGGAGGTAGAGGTTGCAGTGAGCAGAGATAGTGCCACTGCACTCCAGCCTGAGTGACAGAGCAAGACTCCATGTCAATTAAATAAGGTAAGTATTTTTTTTCAATTTCTGAAACTTTTCTTTTCTCTATGAGCATCTACTTTCACTTTCCCGTAACCTCCTCCATATTCCCAGAATCCTCCTATAAAATCCACAAAGGAAGCTTCTGAAATTAGGCATTACGGGATATCAGTAAACAGCAATGTGTCACACAAACCATAAGGCCACATCTCAACTTTAAACCCAAGGAAGCTTGAAAACCTCACAGTTCTGAACCCTGGCTACCTATGATCTGGTGGTCTAAACAATTCTTGTTCCTCTGCTATAATCCAGAAATAACAGGACCTCCATTCTAGTGAAGATTGCTAAGTCAGCAATGTCAAGGTATGTTTATGGAATGAATGCCTACTATAAACTCAATAGTAAATAAATACAGTAGATGATAAAATAGCTTAAACAAGGCCTGTAGGGGACACAGGGAAATGAGAAACTCACCTGGGGTCAATGAGGTCTTCAGACTAGAATTGCTGTCAGATTGAGAACAAATGAGTTAGAAATATGATAAATATTTAATGGAGAAAATGGGAGTAAATTAGAACATTCCAAGACACTCAGAATTGTCATGTTCTATTTTTCTACATAAAAATTACTATTTGCAGTACATAATCAACTCAGTAATATCCATAATATGAATTCAGTAATTATCAATGTATTATAAAATCATTAGCTTGATTCTTGTGCTTGGTCAGGATTAATTCCCTTCATCAGACTTAAAAAAAAAACTAGCTGCTATTTCTTCTGGGAAGTAAAGTATGGTTGGGCTTTACTGTGCTTCAGCACAGCAAAGAGGCTATTTACTAGAAAATATAAAGGCCTTCATATAAGATGCTTTCACATGAAGAAAAATGGTCCTAGAGGGAATGCTAATCTGAATATTGAGTTCCTAGTCTGCTAAAAAAGCCATTTGTAGTAGTTTTGCAAGGATTAGGCGCCTAAAACAACAACCATGTTATTTAGTTCACTATTCTTTGGGTCAGCTGGTTTGTGTCCTCATTTTGGTCAGTTTGACGGTTTGACGGCTAACTCCTGAGCTGTCTTATGCATAGGATGGTTGTGAGAACTAAATACAGTGACAGTGATTCTACAATGATTGTAGAATCAGCTGGCAGATGGGCTAGTAGTCAGATAATCTAGAACCAACCACCTTATTCCTATGTCTGGCAGTTTCAAGCTATTGGCCAGAGTATAAAAGACCATCAGATGAGTGCCTCGTTTCTCCTCCATATGATCTGTCATCCTTCAGCAGCCTAACACCACCTCAGGTACAGGGTGCACTCAATGTTCTAAGCACAGAAGGAGCCAAAGCATTACAGCATTTGAGGCTTAGAATTGGAGCTCTTTCAATGTCACTCCTGTTGTATTTCCATGACCAAAACAAGACACAATGCCAGCCCAGATACAAGGGGTAGAAATAAATCCACATCTTGATGGGAAAAGCTGCAAAAAATTGGTAACCATTTACAATTTCCCACAATTCTTGTGTTTTGGATATGAATCAGATCCTTTCATTGGTGGCAAAGTATCAAATTAGCAACTCCCTGTGAAATTTGAACTTATAACATAAAGTATGTCCTCTAGGTTAATTAATGATTTTTAGAACATTTTTTCCAATAATTTCTGTTCTTATTTCTGTGGGGTTTTTTTGGGTGGGGGGGTGGGTTTTTTTGTTTTTTTTTTGAGATGGAATCTTGCTCTGTTGCCCAGGCTGGAATACAGTGGCAAAATTTTGGCTCACTGCAACCTCCACCTCCCAGGTTTCAAGTAATTCTCTACCTCAACCTACCCCATAGCTGGGATTACAGGTGCCCACGACCATGCCTGGCTAATTTTTGTATTTTTACTAGAGACAGGGTTTCACCATCTTGGCCAGACTGGTCTTGAACTCTTACCTCGTGATCCAAAGTGCTGGAATTACAGGCATGATTACACTGCGCCCAGCCTTAATTTTTAAATAATATGTTTGGTAACAATAGTGATTACAATTTTATTGTTCATATATTTGAGTCATTGTTTTGAGCTAATGGTGTGATAAGTATTCTATATTTAGTTCTTGCAATAATCTTATAATGATAGATACCATTTTGGAAAATTTTATATATCTTACATGATTTATATAATTTTCTATAACACAGAGAACAGATTTGGAGTTAATTATGTTTTCTCTTCTATACTTTGGGCATTTTGTTGTATAGAATGAAATTTGGATTTACTCATTCCTTCTAGCTTCAGAAGTTTTTAAATTGGTAAACACTGCATATGGAATCAGAACTTAGTTAAGAAAGATCAGTGCAAAATTTCTAAAATTTTGACAGTTTCTAAAAATCAAAATTAACTTGGTGACCAGTCTTACTTTTCAAAATTCAAAGAGATTTATGCTAACTATAAAAACACAAAATGATTATTTTTGAGGTCTTCTCTTTTTAAAGCTCTTTTCTATTCGTTAAACCAACATAGTAAATGGGAAAGTTTTATGGAAATTTTATAATCCAGCCCAAAATAACATGTAATTGTGACAAATATGTAATTGTGCATATAATTACAAAAATATTTAAACACATACAGAACTATAACAAGAACATATAATAGTCTTTTATTTTTCTATTTTTTTAGAAAAAGAAAACTATCTTTAGCAATTTAAATGTTTTAAATTTAGCTTATATATACATATACATATATAACACATATATGTATACATTATTCACTTATACTGTCATATAATTGTATTAATCATAAATAGCCAATATAGGCTAATAAGTTCAAAGAACTGACCCTCTGTATGTGTACATATACATACATAGTATATGTACATATATGTGCATATGTACATATATTGTGTATAAACACATATAATTGTAAATATACATTTCTAAAATCTCTCTATATGTATGTATGCATACATGTACATATTTTTCACCATGATTTATTGCTATGTGCACCATCATAATGTTGAGAGAAAGCTTGAAATTCCTCTAGTCCAACCACCATCCCAGAATATCTTAAGTATATTTCTTAAGAATTAGGATAGCAATAAAATCTGTAACCATTAGTAGAATAAGTCATTTCAGGTTTACTTTTCTGAAAAAAATATTTTAAATGTAAATTTAAAACATTTACTTTATACACTACTTGCTATATCTTTTCTTTTCAGAAATGCAGTCTTGAGAAAAGTGCCTCATTTTTCAGTAAAGTGACGTATTCCTGGTTTAGCAGGTAGGAATTTTACTAATATATTTGTAGCATAACACACTGAAAAAGATCACAAGGGAAATGACACCTGACTGTTATTCCTTTAATCTCAATGTGAATAGTTGGTACAAAATTGTCTCATATTACTTATTACACAGAATCACAGGTAAAAACATACTAAGTAGTTCCACAGATAACAGTACCAATATTCCTCCAACACGTCTGTCCCTTTATAGGGTTTTCATTTCATTAGCACTAGGGAAGGACAGAAAAATGAACTTCTTTTTATCATCAAGTATATGCTACCCACTTTTTGTTTATGATTTCATTTAATTCTCCCCCAAGTGCTCTGAGATAGGCATTTGCATGAGAAAAAGTTAGGCTCAGGAAGGGAAAGCACCTGTCCATTGAAACCCATGTAGGAGCAAGTATGTGTTTTAAACCAATTCCTACTGAGTTCATGTTTTAGGCTTTATTTTTACTATGCCATTCTACTTTTTATCAGGAATGCGTTCATATATACTCATATATGTTACTATGAAAACACACACATACACACAGCCCTAATCATTTTATAAGACATCTATTATGGTTTTTCTCATAGACTAACTCCTCCGTAATGTATGATGAGGGCTCAGAATTTCCTCAGGACATATAATTGTGAACTCTGATTTTAACACAGAAATTAAATCATATTGAATGGGAAGAGCTGATATTTTCTTATTTTGTAAATTCTGAGGCCTTCTTTAGAAATGTATTTCTTTCTCTCCCATAACAGAAAGTCCATGATATGAAGTTAAATTTGTCTTTCTAGCTTTATGTCCCTTTCTCTATAGTCCATAGAAACAAAATTGCTCAATTTTATCTACAGATATGTTCTCAAGAGTAGATTAATATTTTAAAAGATGATTGGGTACTAGGTGCCCCAAACTCTGCTAATCTTTAAAAATGCAGAGATAAATGACTTAATTTCTGTCTTCTAGAATGCATAGTAGAATTAAAAAGGTTAAAAAGTATACCACCATTACGAAAAAAAGGGGAAAAGGCAACGTAAGCATAATTGACAAATACAAATTTTCAGTAGAATCATCTAACCAAGTGTGCATCATTAGGGACTGTTTCACATACACCAATACTTTCACCTAACATTTAAAGATGTATAGGAGTGAGTAACATGGTATTCCAAGTTGAGCAAATACTATGTGAAAACCACATAATAAAAGGTAGGAAAGAACTGGCTGTGAGGTTCAGGTGTGGGTTCAAATTGGGAAATTTTTAATTTTTGAGATACATTTGAAGCATCACATGAACAGGAGTTTAGATATGTGGCTTCCGGGCTTAGAATAAACCTTTGAGCTATAGATATGGATTTGGGAGTCATTGACTAGAGGATAGTAGTTTAAGCCATCAGTATGAATGAGACTTTTCACAAGAAGAACCCATTGAATAGGTTGAACAAATGGAACCACTGGCAATCCTCAGTATTTAAATGGCAAGAGAAGGAGGAGTCTACACAGGAAGCTAAGTAAAGGTGTTCCGAATGTATTATAAGAGAAGTATCTGATAAAATAGTGTGAGTGAAAGATAAGAAAAGATAAACTGTCAAGAAAGAAGAAATATAAAGTGGTCAATAGGGACAAATACTGAAAAGTGGTAAATCAAAATAATAACTACATATTCTTCAGTAAATTTGCCAACACAAAGATCATTGGGGAATTTTTAAAATCAATTGAAGTTATGCGTATACTTGTGAGCAAATACTTGGGCAGAAGTGGTTAAATTGTGATAAGATTTCCAAGTTACACACATCTAGGAATCTCTTAAAGAGGATGGCAAACCTATGTAACATTAAGCTGTACACTAGGAAAAAGAAAGATTAGATAGAAATCTGAATGTGAGCTATTTACATTTAAGGATTTTAATTCTTCAAATTTGCATATGTATAGAAACGTTTTCAACCCTGAATTTTGTTTATGGAGGAGTTGAAAGGAAGAGTAATACCTATCTCAGCTTTAAAAAATTTCAGTTTCATTTTAAAGTCATAGGTATCATAGAATTTTAATAATACAAATAAAATCAATTTTAAATACATGTAATTTTAAAGTTTGATTATCAAACTATAAAACTATGTGCATATATATTAAATATTGCAAACATTATTTTAGCGTTCTAAAGTAAGAAGCTGAACTTAAGTTTAATAAGCAAGATTAGATATAGCAAATCTTCAAATATTACAACCTAGTATTTTGAAATCCATATCTTAAATCAATCAAACAAACCATCAAGCTCTAACTGTGAATATCATATTTCTTTCTGTTTAATTTGAATATCTCACAACTAGATACAAAATATTTTCATGGAATATTGTTATCCAGAACTGTCATTGGCATGAATCTAATCTGATTTCTTAAATGTGATTAAACAATTATATTTGAAACATAACTATTGTTTAATAGAATGTCCCTTTGAAGACGAAGATAAATTGTATTTTCAAATCTATCTTTGGAGTTAGAGAATAGTGTCAAATTATTTCCTAGAACAAATTCAAGCATCTATAATTATATGAATAACTCAATTAAAAGTGCTCAGATGTCACAATAATTAAAAATTATATACTTATGAGCCTTAATTCCTAAGACAATAGCTGTCTACATCATTCTGATGCTGAAATAATTACCAAGCCTTTATTAGCAAATATAATTTGTCGCCAGTGGAAATTATCATGGCTAGAGAATACATGGACAAAAGTAGTAAGAGTTTTCATAGGTCACTACTGTGTCATTATTTTAACCAGATCCACTATTCAATACGTCCTTTTTCTCACCTATTAATAAAATTTATACATTAACCAACTTTCTCCCATTCTCCCATTCTATAATTTTTGGCCAGATTAATTTATTTTCTTTTCCCATAACATAATAACCTCTTTCCAGAAATGTTTTAAAAGATGATTAATAATAATAAAATCAATAATGCTACTATATATTTATACTTTCTAAGCATTCAAATATTCATCTATAAACATTATATTTTAGCTTATCTTTCTAAGAGAATGCCACTGTTTTTCTAGTCTCTTCATGAGTTGGTTGAGATATTTATAGTCAAAATTCTCTCTGAGATAATAAACTTCAACAATGAAAGTTGTATCAGTCAGTACTCATGCTGCTATGAAGAAATACCCGAGACTGGGTAATTTATAAGGGAAAAAGATTTAATTGACTCACAGTTGCTCGGGTATGAGAAGGCCTTAGGAAACTTGCAATCATGGCAGAAGGGAAAGCAAACATTTCCTTCTCCACATGGTGGCAGGAAGAAGTGCCAAGCAAAGAGGGAAAAGCCCCTTATAAATCTATCAGATCTCGGGTAAACTCACTCACTATCATGAAAACAGCATTATAAGGGTAAACACCTCTATGATTCACTTACCTCCCACCAGGTCCCTCCCATAACATGTGGGGATTATGGGAACTGCAATTCAAAATGAGATTAGGGTGGAAACAAGGCCAAACCATATCAGAAATAATACATCTCACTGTCTGAATTTTTTGCTAAGTTATCCTTGGTTTGTTTTACATATAAAACACTGTGACCAGTCTCTGAAGTTCTTAATGTTTAACTGCCTGTAAAAATGAGAAATTAATTCTTTTCTGTCTGATTTGAGGAGTTTTGAGAATCAAATTCATTGACGGGACTGTCCTTTGAAAAGAAACTGTAATCCCAGCACTTTGGGAGGCCAAGGCAAATAGAGCACGAGGTCAGGAGTTCAAAACCAGCCTGGCCAAGATGGTGAAACCCCATCTCTACTAAAAATACAAAAAATCAGCCAGGCATGGTGGCACACACCTGTAATCCCAGCTACTCAGGAGGCTGAGGTGGAGAATTGCTTAAACCCATGAGGTGGAGATCGCAGGGAACTCCAGCCTGGGTGACAGAGGGAGACTCCATCTCAAAAAAAAAAAAAAAAAATCAAAGAAAGAAAAAAACATTATTCTAAAAATATGAGATGCATGTGTAAACTTTATTACTGTTTTAGGAATAAAGCCCACAGCTTGATGGGACCTGGTATGCATCATATATTTCACTTACCAAGACGGCCAACTCGTGGTCCTCATTGATTCCCAAAGAACTGCCTCAACATTTGAGTTCAATAAATACCACTTCCTCAACACTTCCTTGCTTATTCTTTTTCCAAACTTGTGTGGGAAAGTAAGGCCAGTCATGTGACCAGAGCCTATCCGAAAGGAGCAAAAGATGGTGGCGGTAAGCACACATCTGGGAAAAAGTCAAGATAGTTAAACCACCAAGCCATGAGAGTCGCAATCAATTCAGCTTAAGTGTCACTTTTAGATGCTGCATTATTTGGAGACTCAGCATGAAAGCCAGAGGTCACTTTTCCCTGAACCAAAACTGCTGAGTTTTGCACACTTCTAACTCAAAATGCTGAGGCAGTAAATGTTATTAAAAATGCTTTTCTAGAAGTTAATGGAGTCTTATTTTGAAAATGAATATTTATTTTATGGAATGAAATAGAACTTAATCTGACATGAAAGTAGTTTATTGCTTAATATGTTTTTAAAAGTGCACTGCAGGAAAATGTCCAGCATATTTGAGCCATCAGAAACATAATTGCCCAAAGTCCTTTCTTATTACATTTAAACCTTTTTGTTAAATTTGAATTGTGGTAAGATATTATCAATTATTCTAAAAGTAAAATAAAATATAGTGGAAACTCTTGTTACCACAGGGTTTAAATTTATCTCAGAGTCAATCAATTGAGATTATTTAGTAACAAGGCCAATGAAAGCAGTCCCAGTTTGGAGTATTTAAGGCATTGTTACAGTCCTCTGGGCTAATAATATGCTTTGTAATGGAGAGAACTTAGGCTCTACGATCAGAAGGCCTGAATTTAAGTATGAGTTTAATTTCTTTTTTTTTTTTTTTTTTTTTTTTTGAGACGGAGTTTCGCTCTTGTTACCCAGGCTGGAGTGCAATGGCGCAATTTCGGCTCACCGCAACCTCCGCCCCCTGGGTTCAGGCAATTCTCCTGCCTCAGCCTCCTGAGTAGCTGGGATTACAGGCACGCACCACCATGCCCAGCTAATTTTTTGTAATTTTAGTAGAGACGGGGTTTCACCATGTTGACCAGGATGGTCTCGATCTGTTGACCTCGTGATCCACCCGCCTCGGCCTCCCAAAGTGCTGGGATTACAGGCGTGAGCCACCGCGCCCAGCCGAGTTTAATTTCTTACTGAACAAGTCATGTCACCAAAGTCACAAACTATATCTGACTTATATCACTTCAGAGTGCATATGGCTTCAAGTAACAGAATAGTGAAATAATAATAATTTTAAAAATCAGGTATTTATTTTCTTATGTTATTGGGAAGAAAGTGTTACTGAAAATAGGATGTTGAACTATCTCAGAAATGCTATAAAAGGCCCAGGCTAGGGCTGTCATGGCAGGTCACACCTGTAATCCCAGCACTTTGGGAGGCAAAGGCAGGTGGGTCACCTGAGGCCAGGAGTTCAAGACCGCCTGAGCAACATGGCAAAACCCTGTCTCTACCAAAAATACAAAAACTAGCCAGGAGTGGTTGTGTGCGCCAGCAATCCCAGCAACTTGGGAGGCTGAGGCATGAGAATTGCTTGAACCAAGGAGGCAGAGGTTGCAGTGGGCCAACGTTGCTCACTGCACTCCAGCCTGGGTGACAGAGCGAGAGTCTGTGTCAAAAAAAAATAAAAATAAAAAAAGGCTCAGGGCTTTTCTGTCTTTCCACTTCCTGTCCTTATTATTTGGCTTTTCATTCATGGTGGCAAAAATGACTTTTTTATCTGAGCATCATGGCTTCAAAGAACAAAGGGAAGTGGTAGGAAGGCAAAATGTTTTCTCCTTTTGAAGTTCTATGCTTTCATTTGAATAAGAAAGTTCTTCCCAGCAGATATTTGTTTAGGTATTGTTAGCCATAACTCAATTATATTATTAATCCCAAGTAGAGGGTAATGAGATTACCAGGACTGGTTTAGACCAATCATAATTCATAACTTAAGGTCTTAAGATAAGACCTTACCATGAGTTCAAGAGATTTTCAACTGGATAAATATAAGAACCCTGTTAGCAAAAACATAGTAGAGCAGAGCTGTAGATAAGTACAATTCATTGTCTCGCACAGTAAATTTTGTGATAAAACTACACTATGCATCTTGTTTGCCTACTAGTTTAGACCCATTGTTCTTGCATAATTATTCACAGTGTCACTTGGGATAAACTCACTGAATGGAGGAGGGTTGATAAATTAAGAGGCTTGTGGAGACTTGTCTTGCTTCTTAAGGTGTCAATTCAGAAACTGTACTCAGATTGGCCATATGCTGTTGGTCATAAGGCCAAGGCCAAAGCTTATGGGACAGGGACAAGTACTACATATCGAGTTGTACAATCTACAAAGTTAGGTGGCAAATTGTGTAGAAAGTCCTAGTGGAACAGAAAAAATTGCAAATGCAGAGGTTGGATCCATTTCCCCTCCAATACAAGCATAAAAGCAAACACAAACACAGTAGAATATTTCCCCATCCACCAAGTGGGTACCAAGTACCAACCAAGTGGGTACTTGGCAGCTGGGGAAATATTCTACTGTGAAAGTTTGCTATTTAAGTTTCAGCAAGTGAGGTGAAGTAGCAAATGAGGTGAGTGGTACATTTCTCAAATATAAGATAAATAAATGAAGTCAGTGTTTCACTGAATAATTGGATGTCTAAACAGCATTTATACAAACTACACATGATTACTTCACATTATTGACCTCCAGGATAAAACCATATGATTTTTTAAACATGTAATATAATCATTGTATTTTGATCAGTAAAATAATTTATAAATCAAGGAATGAAATAAGTTCATGATGACAATTTTTTTAACTCATTATTTGTTTTGCTATCATGTTTACCTTACTTTTTCATCTTCAGAGTAATTACTTTAGGCTATAAGAGATCTTTGGAAAGAGAAGATCTTTTTGAACTAAATAAAAGTGACTCCTCTTACACTGTGTGTCCCATCTTTGAAAAACAATGGAGAAAGGAAGTCTTAAGGACTCAAGAGAGGCAAAAAGTTAAGGTAATTAATTACAAGGTTCTATTAAATTCTGACATAATTACTACTGGAAAACTAGATAAAGTTTTTTTCAAGTATGAGATGCCATTATTAATATAGAAATTCTTAAAATGTGTGAAATGACAATCAACTTTTATGAGCATAATTTGCTGCTATTGCAGCCCATTTCTGTCTTCCAACTTCTCAACATTCCTTCTCTTTAACGTTCATTTATAATGTGTCGATATGCATGTATGTATCATTTGGCTTCTCACCAGTGGTGACAAAGATAGCTTCTGTATCTCAGAGCATCACATCTATTGTTCAAAGCAAATTATATGGTGGTCAAAATGAAAGTTTCTGGGAGCAGGAGCAGATACTCCACATCTAGCATCATATATACATATACATAGGTATTATTTTTAGACTTCTCCAAAGGAAATATAATTTGGAGATAAAAACTGTATTTATATTAATTAAATAGTTTCAAAACTTGGAAAAATAATAAAATGCAACTACTGCACTTGCCCTTTTATGCCATGTGGTATAAATAATGCCACCTACCCTCCCAATGATATGGGTCATAATTTCAAGTTTAACTGATTTATTCCTTTCTTATTATCTTATTGTCTTTGAGCACACTGTTAATTGTATGATTAGTTTATATATATTTTATTTTATAAATATTAGTTGAGTCCAATTTTCTCATTGTTTCTATTTTCTTTAATTATGTAGGCATCTTTTAATAAAGAAGCAGATACCGTGAAACCATCCCTACTCTATGCCTTGTGGAACACCTTTAAGTCTGTCCTGATTCAAGTTGCCTTATTTAAAGTGTTTGCTGATATTTTATCCTTCACTAGCCCACTCATAATGAAGTAAGTTAAATTCTGGTGGGGCTTTTTTTTCCTCCCCACAGGTAAATGATGAGTAAGTATTCTAATAAAAAAGTTCTAATACAAAAGAGTAGAGAAGGTCCTTACTGGAAATATTATTAGGAGGTGGACATGCCATTAGGGTTACTGCAATATAAATGGGAATTAGGGTGATATAGTCAATATTTAATAAAGCCAACCATATAATAAACACTGTTCTAAAATCTTATTTTAATTTTATTAAGCAAGGGTTCTCCAGAGAAACAACCAATAGGAGATATATATATATATATATATATATATATATATACACACACACACACACATACATATATGTATATACACACATACATATATGTACACACACACACATAGAGTCAAATAAAAAGGAATTTATTCTGAAATTTTATTTCATATATGTGTATATATAATAAATTATATATTATAAATATATAACAAATATATGTTTATATAATAAACATATATAATATATATAATAAATTATACATATAATATATATAGCCAAATAGCAGATTTATTGTGGGAATTTATTTATTTATTTTTGAGATGGAGTTTCGCTCTTGTTACCCAGGCTGGAGTGCAATGGTGCAATCTTGGCTCACCACAACCTCTGCCTCCTGGGTTCAAGCAATTCTCCTGCCTCAGCCTCCTGAGTAGCTGGGATTACAGGCATGCGCCACCATGCCCAACTAATTTTTTGTATTTTTAGTAGAGGCGGGGTTTCACCATGTTGACCAGGATGGTCTCGATCTCTTGACCTCGTGATCCACCCACCTCAGCCTCCCAAAGTGCTAGGATTACAGGGAATTTATTATACATGTGTGTGTATATGAGGAATCAGAAGTTCCTGTTTTATGTAAGGTAACTATGAAAGACATTGGTGATAAGGTGACATTTGGTCAAAGTCCTGAAGAAAGTTAGGAAGGAAACTAAAATAAAATATCTATTGCAATTAAACGTAGCAGGAAGGGCAAAAGCCGTGAAGAAGCTCATGCTTAGTATCTCTGAGGGCATACAAGGAGGCAAAATGAGGTTGGAGCAGAGAGTTAGAAAGATAAGATTGAGGTCAGAAAGGTGCCGAGATGACAAGATTTTGTAAGACCTTATGGAATATGATGGTAATATTGGCTTTTATTCCACATTAGTAGAGAAGCATTTGGAAAATTTTGAGCAAAAAAAAAAGTCATCTGATTAGTCTTAAGTTTTATAGGAATGATTCTGGCTGCTATGTGGAGAATAAAATCAAGAAGTGCAAGAGTGGAAGAAGAAACACCAGTTAGAAATTTGCTTGCAATAATCCAAGCAAAAGTCAACGTGGCTTCAACTAGGTAGTAGCAATAAAGGTGATAAGAAGTGGCCAGACCCTGGCTGTGTTTTAAAGGTAGAGTTAACAGAATATACTGCTGGACTGAATGTAGGTTGAGAGAGGAAGGAAGAAGTTAAGGATGCCCTAAAAATTTTTGTTTAAATCATAAGGTAAACAAGTCATTACATCCTGAGATAGAGAAAATGCAAGAAAGACTAGAAGTTTGTTTCCGGACTTGTTAACCTTGAAAGATCTGTTAGCTGTTGTGAAAGAAAGCAACAATTCACATAGCAGACCTGCCTGTGGACTTTGGAAAGCCTAGTTACTTTAGCTGGCAACTGGAACTTACATTTCAGGAGAGTATCCACTGCCCTAACTGATAAGAATGACTCCTTATGTCCAAGTTGTTTATTCAACTGATATGGTTCACGGTGAATATCTGTTTTCCTTCTGGGAGTCTGGAGTTTTGGTGTGCATTAAGAAAAGGGTGTCCACTTGACCAGCCTCCAGTAAAAACCCTGGATGCTGAATTTCTAACAAGCTTGCCTTGTAGACAACATTTGACATGTTTTGCCACAACTAGTTGCTGTGAGAATTAAGCATGCTCTGTGTGTAGGGAAAAGACTTTTCGGAGCTTGTGCCTGTTTTCTCCCAGACTTCACTCCATCTTTTCTTTTATGCTGATTTTGTTTTGTATCCTTTCGCCGTAATAAATACACCCATGAGGATGACGCTATGCTGAGTCCTGTGAGTTATTAAAGTAAATAATTGAGCTGAGGCGTCCTTGTGGGGATCCCTGACATGGGGCCATCTAGATTAAAAGGTTGAGTAAGCAATTGTCTATATACACTTGGTGTTAGGAAAGATATAGGCTGGAGTGACAAACTGGAATTGTTCTAAATTGGATTGGGTATGTCAAGCAATTGTTCTGGATGAAATCACCTTAATGTATGTGAAGAAAAGTAAAAGTAAAGATGTCTGGCAAAAAAAAACCTATCAGCTATTCTAATTCATAGAATTGGTTAAAATGAGGAAATTTATCAAAGGACATTGAGCAGCAGTGGCTAGTGCAAACACATACACATAAAAACAAGAGAGAATGGTACTAGGGAACCAAGGCAAGATGCATATTGCTGTCAGAAAATGGACCCTGACAGTTTGCACCCCAAATTCTTTGTTGGCTCCCTTGTCTGTTGAAGGATAGGCCAAATGTTTCCTGGATTAACTGCCCCCTCCCCCACTAGACAACAGATCTCTTCCTCCCCTTGCTTCTTCCCCTCACCTCAGCATAACCCAGGAGTCACCATATCACTATCTTATGTGTGACCAGAGAAATCTCTGTCAGAAGCATTGACCAGGATCTTCCTCTTCTGCCCTATTCCCTTTATCCAACGCTGCAAAATGAATCAGCTCACAATTTGGTGGTGTTAATCAACAATTTTACTATGTTCATGAATTTGGTGTCAAAACTTTAGGCAGTGATTGCTTTTCTCTGCTCCACCATGATTGCAACCCTGCTGAGTGCCTAGAACATCTGGAGAGAGCTGCCGCAGCCCAAATGGAGACATATGGCTGGCGCTTTGGTTCTAACTGTAGGCTAAGTTACCCTGGATCTTCTCCCTGTGTGCTGGTGCTGGGATGCTCAAAATGGCTCCTCACCTCACACATCTGAGGCCTGGGCTATCATTGCTGGAAACAATCACATCTCTCCCTCTCTTCCGTCCTCTCTTTCTGCTTCTCCCTGTCTCCGTGTCTCTGTCTCCATCTCTCTCTCTCCCTCTTCCCTCCCATCTCTCTCCTTCTCTCTGTTTCTATAGCCTCTGAATGGTTAGCTTGAGAACAGAGGCCATAGAGTAGCTAAATTTCTTACATGGTAGCTAGATTTTCTCAGAATGAGTATTACAAGAGGCTCAGACAAGTCTTTCTATGATGTAGGCTGGGAACTCTCAGAGGTTTTGCCCATTGTTTCAGCCAAAAGATCCCCCAAGTCAGCCCAAATTCAAACGGAAGGGAATTAAAGAAAAGAGTTTCAATTTCCCAATGAGAGGAGTAGCAAGGGATTTTCAGGATATTCTGACTCCTCTTTGCCAATGACTACTGCTCAAGAAACTTGTGAGAGAATCTCACCATGGCCCCGGTCTTTCCTAAAACAGCAATAGGTCATAGCAGTTCAGTGTGTCTGTTTCCTAAAAGGTTGTATCTGAATTACCAAAGAATGTCTGTGGGATAGAGAACAATCTCCTTTATTTTGTGAGACACTTTTTCATCACACTGGTTTGATCAGTCCTGCAAAACAAGAATTTTAATACTGCATTGCAGTGAGTCAGCTGACACACCCTTCTCCCTGCCTACGTGATGAAAGACGGAAAGGATCCTGTATTATTGAGTCATTACGTCCTTAGCTCTTAGCACGAGGTCTGACACATAGAACCCAAATAATTTCCCTGAAAAAAAATGTGAATAAACGGAACTTACCCAAAGTTACAATTTTCCAAGATCTTCTAAGACATTTATTCTGCAGTAGCTGAAAAACCTTAACATTTTCACAATGAGTAACAACTGAGTGATCAGAAAGAATTGCAAAGCTTGTATGATCATAATTTGGCCATGGAACAACTAATGTTATGAGCTATTTTTGAGACTACATATATACATACATACATATGTAGTCTCAGAATATGTTTATTCTTTTTATATGGAAAAGTTGCTGGGAAGGACTGTCTTTAAGGATGAGAGCACATTGTCATATTTTTTATACTTGTATGTGTAAAATAAAGCATATAAAAGGAATATTTTCATTAATTTACTAGTAAAATTATACTTTTATTGTTTATTAGATACATTTCTTGTTGATTGTTGTGTTGGCTCTTTTCCTCCCTTTATGGATTTGATTTTAATATTAAACAAAATACATGTATTCATATCTAATATAAATATTGTTTTATGATCTTTATCATGCCTTGAGCATAGATTATTTTAATATTTCTCAATTAATTTGAGCCACTGCAGTGACTGATGTTAGTCATTTAGTTTTGTTTTTATGAAAAAGGAAAAAGTAGAATTGGTAGATATATGCCCAATAAGAACAGTGCTACTCTTTCAGGAAATGTAACTCATAGAACAAGAAGGCATTTAGCAAGTTGCTTTTGTATAAAGCAGGTGTCCCAATAGGTGACATCAATTAAGAAATACAGAACTTTCTGCTGTTATTATGCATATGTGGGGTGTGGGATAACTTAATAGTATTATTGAGAATATACAATGCTCCAAATAATTTTTGATACCTAGAGGTTTTACTATTAGAGACACTTATATATTTTTATTCTAAACTCTAATTTTAATAAAGTAAATATTTTTTAAGTACTTGGCTAATAAAGCAATTTGGACAAGTTACTACAAAGTTTTCACACAGTAGCTGTCGAAATTGTCAATAAATATATCAAAGCCTAGAAATCTATGCTTTATCACTTAAAAATTTAAACTTTTGGCCGGGTGTGGTGCTTCATGCCTGTAATCCCAACACTTTTTGAGGCCAAGATGGGAGGATCACTTGAGGTCAGGAGTTCAAAACCAGCCTAGGCAACATGATAAAACTTCGTCTCTACTAAAAATACAAAAATTAGCTGGGTGTGGTGGTGTATACCTATAGTCCCAGTTACTCAGGAGGCTGACACAGGGAGATTTCTTGAGCCTCGCAGACAGAGGTTGTAGTGAGCTGAGAGCCTGCGACCGCACTTCAGCCTTGGCAACAGAAGTAAAACCCTGTCTCAAGAAAGAAAAATAAACTTTTATAAAGAATTAGTTTTTAAATATAATATTTTTTGAGGAAAGTGTAGATACAGTCACACCTAATTGCATATGGTTTCATTCTAGTTCTACTAACCTATGGATTCACTCAAAATATCTCTTTACAATGATATAGAACATTTTTGCATCTCCAGAGTTTACAGTGAAAAAGGTCCATTTACCAAACCTCTAATACTATACGTTTTACATATGAAATAGAAGGGACTACTAAATAAAACCCAAACTGTAGGTCTGCAAAATAAATGACATGTTAGCTTGTAGTATGTCAGAGTATATGCCCAAATTGTTTTCACCATATTGCATGGCTTATGTAGTCTTTTAAATTTAATATTATTTTCAATTACACTGAAGCAGTTTAAAAAAGGTGAAATCATGTTTAAAATATTATTACCAATGAACATCAGGCACTCTAAGTTTAGTCACTGTTTATAGTTGAGGAACTACCAAAGATATTATAACTAAAACCATCCCCACTGTTTTTCTGCACCCCAGCATTAACCCTAATCATCATGATCATGCTGGTCACAAACTTAGGAGGAAATAAGGGAAAGTAGAGAAAAAATAAATTGGTTATAGATAAAAGTGACAAAAAAACATGAGATATAAATCAAGCCTTTTAAGAAAACAACACCTGTGTGTCATACTAAAAGATCTTGGTTGCTATGCTTCTCTATATTAGAAAAAACACATAATTTTGAGGAAAAAAATGAAGTTTTAAATGTATCTATGTCTCCACCTTTCTGATGAAGTTAGACCAGAAAAGTTAATTATTTGATGAGCTTGCTGTGTGAAACCAGAAAATAACCTCTTACTCACAAGCCAGTGGAAGGGGTTGCTGATTTTACTTTCTTAAAAAAGGGACAAATACCAAATTAACCCAGTAGAGAAAAAGAACATGTAGAAGCATGTGTGTGTGAGTGTGTGTGTGTGTCTAACATTTTGACAATTATAAACTCTCATAAGCATTTAACTACTTCAGATGTTTAATGTTTCTACCCCTTTCTCAATTTTTATGACATTCAGGCAAATGATCATTTTCTGTGAACACAGCTCAGATTTTGGCTGGAATGGCTATGGTTATGCAATGGCACTTTTTGTTGTAGTCTTTTTGCAAACTCTGATTCTTCAGCAGTATCAACGTTTTAACATGCTCACCTCAGCAAAAGTTAAAACAGCTGTAAATGGACTGATCTACAAAAAGGTAAAAATTCCAAGGAATCCCCATATGTAGATCTACTCCCTTATGTGCTTTAAAATAAGGGGACTAGAAAAATAGGAGAGCGTACCAAAACATCCTTAGGAAATCCTTTGCATACACATTTGTTTTGCTTTAAAAGAACTTTGACTCATTAATATTGGTTGCATTAATTTCTCTTTAGTGTACACTCTCTCTACATAGATAAAAGGTCTTTACAACTCCCGGTCAGCCCTAATCCATGAAATTAACTGATAATCATTGTTTAATCTTATGTCACCTAACTGCTCCTCAGAAAGTGAATGGAATTGAATATTTTCATGATTTTCTATATGTATGCATCAATAACAGTTCTCCTCTTCATAAAATTATTTTCAACATTCATATTACCTTTTCTTCTCCTCTGTGAACTTTATTTTTATGCAACAAAGTCATTCTTTTTTTATAGAGTCATTCTCCACTTCTCTCTCATTCTAAGTCTTGCCTTTCAAACTTGGCTGATCTTTGTTTCGGGCATAACCCTAAGGTTTAATTAGTCCATTTCTGAAAATATCATTTTAAGCACTATCTCTTTACCATCCAGCGTCCCTTATTTACAACATAATTATAAACAGTTAAAGAGCTTTCTCCTTCCTCTAGTTATCAACTAGTTATTCAACCAACAGGAGTACTTTGTTCCTACTTTGCACTGTGATATAAATTGTGGGTTTTTCAGGATTTGGAATAGAAATTTATTTACCTGGTGTATCCTTATCATGTAAGACAGTTACTTTTATACTTCATTAAATTTAGATGACTGAATAAATGAATGAATTAATGAACAAATAAGCCCCAGCTTTTCAAATAAATTGAGGGAAGTGTTAGCATAAATAACAAACGTGTAGAAGTAAATGCAGATTTTATAAGAGATCAGATGAACAGGAAACCTACAAGGATTATATATAGTTAAGGAAGTTTTCACACAGTCCAGAAAAGATCTTTGAGAGAGCTACTGACTTTGTGTAAGGGGAAGGCAATATTCTAATTTGGGCTGAGCTGGACATGAAGCATTACAGGCCATTTTGCTCGACTGGGTCACAATGGGGCATGAAGTGATTTTATGGATCTTGGAAAGCCAACGACAAACTGAGCAGTAAATGGTAACTGAACTTGCAGCAGAGTTTAGCTCTGTAGAACTCAGTCCAAATACAGGATTAGAGGGGCTGTTCCAGTCCTAATTCTAGAGGCAGTACATGCTGCCTCCCATATGGCATAAAGATATAGAAGAATCTAGGAACTGGATGGGATGCTTACACTTGTTTTGATATATAGTCCACATGGAACAGGATTTTATTCCATGATTAGAGCATTGGAGTTTAGACGTGAGATGTAGGTGGATTTACAAGCATTAAAGACTAAACTGCCATGAAAGCATGAATTTAAAAACATAAAAGGTGGAACTTCTAGAGCAATAAACCACTTTGTATGATACTATAATGGTGTATGTATATAATTATACATTTGTCCAAACACATAGAATGTACAACACCAACTGAATCCTAATGCAAATTACAGACTTTGGATGATAATGATGTGTCAATGTAGGTTCATCAGCTGTAACAAATGTACCATTCTGTTGAGGATGTTGATAATGGGGGCACCTATGCACGTGCAGGGTAGGAGTATATGGGATTTCTCTGTACCTTTTTCTCAGTTTTGCTGTGAACCTAAAACTGCTGTAAATAAAAGCAGTCTTTGTAGGGAGAGATAGGTGTAATACCTCTTTTCACCCATTGCGAGAGTTGCAATGGACACTCCTATAGCATAAGACAGGTTAAAAAGAGAAAAATAAAACAAGTTAATTTAATTAAATTTTACTTTGTCAGAAGTAAAAACCCAAAAATCAAGGGCAAACTGTCTATTTTTATGCTTAGGTTCTATAAAGAATATACAGGAGTATAGAAATGTGATCAGACAAGGGTATGATCTAATAGTAATGGACTGAAAGGGGAAAGCATGGCCTTTCAGATTCTTCCTGGCCCCTCTGTATAGTATTCCTTTCCCCGGATATTGTACAGGACGCTTTTGGAATGATGGTCTTCAAGAGAGAATCTTTCTAAGTTAAATGTCTTGTTGTGGGGAGAGGGGTTCCAATTCCTGTGACTCACTTTTGGAAAAAGGAAAGAAAGAGGAGTGAGAGACAAAAGGGCTGGAGAGGGTCAGAGAGACTTTGCTTCTGAGACTCTCCCAGTGTTCTTCAGTTCCAAGCACTCAGCATGCCTAGGTGCCATATTTTGGAGTATCATGTTCTGAGTCCCAACACCTTAAATGTAAAAGCAGAATGGACTGAAGTAGGAATTAGAGCAAACTATTAGAAACAAAAAGGGAAACAAATTTCATTGTTGAGTCTGTTGCAAAGTTGGAATGCTGACTACAGGGGAAAGACCTTGTACACCCCTTAGAGATTGCTTAAGATCAAGGGACACTGGAAGATCAAAGGAGTATTGCTATCAAGCCTACTTTGTGGACCCTGCGGTGGATATTACAATGTAACAGAAGACACAAGTCTTTTTCTATGAGGTGAACAAGGGTGGTTAAGTTTTCCTTCTTCTTTACAGGTTTTAGAATTCCAGATGACTCATATTTGTCTGAAATTGACCATACTTCATCAGGGACTTGTGACTAGAGTAGGGTAAAGCTGGTCTCAGGTCCTTTTCTTGATGAGGGTGTGTATTAGTCTATTTTCACACTGCTATATAGATACTACCTGATACTGGGTAATTTAAAAAGAAAAGAAGTTGAATAGACTCACAGTTTTGCATGGCTGGAGAGGCCTCAGGAGACTTAGAATCATGGCAGAAGGTGAAGGAAGCAAGGCAGGTCTTACATGGCAGCAGGAGAGAGAGGGAGAGCAAAGGGGAAAGTGCCACTTTTAAACCATCATATCTCATGAGAACTCACTCACTACCATGAAAGCAGCATGGGGGAAACTGACCCCATGATCCAGTCACCTCCTACCAGGTCCCTCCCTTGCCACATAGGGATTACAATTCAAGATGAGATTTGGGTGGGGACACCGAGCCAAATTATATCAGGAGTAAAGGTATCAGGATGTGCTTTGTACCTTATCCATATACAGTTACTAGTGTAAGTTTGGAATAAAGTTCAGGGAATATCATTTTTAGGTTTACAAGAAAGAACATGGGCTTCCTTCCACTTGATGACTTTAAGATTCTGTGGATCTCAAAACTTAGATTCTGTAATTGCTTAGTTCACAGGTGCAAACTCCATTAAAACTCTTGGAGACTAAAAAACAAAACATGATTCCAAAGAAATCATTATATCAAAAAGATATTTTCACTTGTGTGTTGATCACAGCACTATTCACAACAGTGAGGCTATGAAATCAACAGTGAGGCTATGAAATCAACCACCAACAGATGATAAGATAAAGAAAAGTTTCTGTATATCACACACACACACGTGCATACACACACACATACACACACACACGTATGTGATGGAATACTACTCAGTCATAAGAAAAGGAATGAAATCATGTCACATTTGTTGGAGAATGGATAGAACTAGAGGCCATTTTCTTAAGTGAAATAACTCAGAAAAAAAAGTCAAATACCAAATAAGTGGACACTAAATAATGTGTACACATGGACATACAGAGTGAAATAATAGATATTGGAGACTTGGATGGCTGGGAGGGTGGGTAGGGATAAGGGTAGAGAAATTACTTAATTGGGACAATGTACACTTTTGAGTGATGGCTACATTGAAAGCCCAGATGTCACCACGACCCAATATAACCATGTAACAAAACTGCAGTTGTATCCCCAAAATCTATGAAATTAAAAATTAAGAGCTTTTTGGCCGGGAGCGGTGGCTCACGCCTGTAATCCCAGCACTTTGGGAGGCCGAGGCGGGTGGATCACGAGGTCAAGAGATCGAGACCATCCTGGTCAACATGGTGAAACCCCGTCTCTACTAAAAATACAAAAAATTAGCTGGGCATGGTGGCGCGTGCCTGTAGTCCCAGCTACTCGGGAGGCAGAGGCGGGAGAATTGCCTGAACCCAGGAGGCAGAGGTTGCGGTGAGCCGAGATTGCGCCATTGCACTCCAGCCTGGGTAACAAGCGCGAAACTCCGTCTCAAAAAAAAAAAAAAAAAAAAAAAAAAAAAGAGCTTTTTAAAGAAAGAACCATCAATTAGACCTGGGTTTACTGTGGGCAGTCTGGGGGCATTCCTCCATTAAGTGTTGTCCAATAGAGTTTTTATGATTTTTAAAAAATGTTCTATATTTGCACTGTGCAGTATAGTAGGCACTAATCACACAGGGCTGCTGAGCCCTTGAAATGTAACTAGTAAAACTAAGGAAGTCAATTTTTAATTTAAATTAGTTTAAATTTAAATTTAATAACTACATCTGGCTAGCGGCTACCACGTTGGCTAGTATGGTGTCTACACTGTCTCCATTTGTAGTTTAAAGGTGTTATCTTACTTTAATTATGGTAATTATAAAATGCCAACAAAAACTGGTAACAATTTCGTTACATTCTTAAAGTAGAGATACTTAAATATAGTCAGGAGAAGGAGAGACAGAATCCACATCCCACCCTGAGAGTCAGAAGGAGAATCCTGGCATATTTTTTGGCACACAAGGAATTAAAGAATGCATTCTTAACGATGTTATGTGGTACCACCTTCAGCTTTACCATTTTTCATACTTCTAGTTGAGATCATTAGGATGGGAATTTTTGGAGCTCTTGCAGTTCTATATGAAATGATGTGTGTAACTTGCAGCTAGGATGGTCAGGAAAAGTTTCATGATTAATATTGCATGATGTGGGTCATGGAATAATGGAAGGATGCATTTAATGGGGTAAAGACTCTGGTGCTGGAATAACATGGGAGAAAAAAAGCACAGAAATGCATACAAGGCCTGCTCAGAAATTGGTGAGTAGATTAATTTGACTCAAGACAATATTTCATGTCCAGAATTGTGTGGAGAGATAGTAAAGGCAAAGGGATTACTTAAAAACAACTTGAAAGTTACATTTTTAAAATGCACCTTAATTCTATAGGAAATTGGGGCCCAGTTGAACCTTAAGATGGATGATCAGGACAAAATGATTGAAAACAGATGAGACTGAAAAGAAGATGACCCTTAAAGCTAGTCAATAATTAAGGAAATAAAGAATTAAACTAGCAGCATTACATTGAGTCTGGAGAGTAACAAATATATAAGAAGGAGAATATGAAATTGCAAAACAAATTTTATCATCAGCTCATAAAATGAAATATTGAGGACTGAACTAGTGATAATCAAGATTGTGGGGCTTGGAACTATATCTGGTTCATGTGGATTTTCTTAGAGCATAATTCAATTAGTGATATGAATGAAGTTTAGAAAAGAGTTGAATCACACAGCTGTATGTGTCTGTGTGAGAGTGTGTGTATTAAAATTTATACGATATGAAAATACTGTCAAAAACAAATCTAAAACTTGGATAGAATTTTAAAATAACATATTCTTAGAAAAAGTGATTAGATAACAAATGACCTGGCTAATTTTCATTTTGATTGAAGAGTACTTAGAAGCTTCCAAACTTTTAACATTGTTTTATATTTTAAAGATAGGGTCTTTTCTTTGCATCTGAGTCACTTATTTCCTCTTGTAACAGACTAAAATATTTCCTACCAGGCAATTCTAGAAATGTTATGCCATCCACTTTAATTGGTATATATTACTGTATTTTTTCAAGTTGCTTCATATAACAAAAAAGCAGCTTAGATTGTATAATTTAGCAACAAATGGTAACTAAATTGCTCTTCCTGGCTTGTAAATGTAGTTCCTTTAAGAAATGTAAAAGTTTATTTGGCAGAAAAAATATTGAAAAAAAAAGTTCTCCTAGGGCCGGGCACGGTGGCTCATGCCTGTAATCCCAGCACTTTGGGAGGCCGAGGAGGGTGGATCACAAGGTCAAGAGATCGAGACCATCCTGGTCAACATGGTGAAATCCCGTCTCTACTAAAAATACAAAAATTAGCTGGGCACGGTGGCACGTGCCTGTAATCCCAGCTACTCAGGAGGCTGAGGCAGGAGAATTGCCTGAACCCAGGAGGCAGAGGTTGCGGTGAGCCGAGATCACGCCATTCATTGCATTACAGCCTGGGTAAGAAGGGTGAAACTCCGTCTCAAAAAAAAAAAAAAAAAAGTTCTCCTAGTGTTAGAAATGCCATACAAACAACGTTATATAATATTTTTAAATATTTTCTCTAATAATCTAAAAGCAATTGATTTTTTCTTTTATTATTGTAAAAAAATGAAATCTATCATTTTAACACATTTTAAGCTTAAAATGCATTTATTGTTAACTATAAGTGCAATATATCACAGCAGATCTCTAGAGCTTATTCATCTTGGTTAACTGAAACTTTGTACCTGTTGAGTACTAAATTCCCAGGTTCCCCTTCCGCCCACCCTTGGAACCATCATTCCAGTCTTTGGTTTTATGAAATTGACCATTTTAGATACCTCATATAAGTGAACACATGAAGTATTTATTTTTCTGTGTCTAGTTTATTTCACTTAGCATAACATCTTAAGGTTCATCCATGTTGTCTCATATTGTAGAATTGTCTTCCTTTTTTAAGGATAAATAGTCATTTCTCCAAAGAAAACATAAATGGCTAATGACATATACCTGGTTAGCTGTTCCACTGTGGACCCATCTGTTATATTCCAGATGGTCTTTTCCACTGTTTTTTTTTTTTTTTAATTCATTGAATATATAGAGTGACTCCTGTATCTCATTTTTTCTTGCTATCCCCAACTCTCAGTGCTGTCTCTCTTTAAATCAATGCAGTGAAGATTCCATGTAATTTTTTATATATAAATGAATCTGTGTCCAGTTTCCAGTACAAATACAAATCTCCCACTACTTTTACAGTCGTTTATGTATTTCATTGGACATTTTAAATGGAAGGATAATTAAATAAATCAATTTCTATCTACATCTTTTATAAGAAGTTACTAATAATTATGCTTGGGAATATTGGATTCAGAATACACATATTAAATAGCATGCACTTGGGGAAAGTGAGAATTGACACTTTGAAGAAAAGGTGTATTTGTATCTGGTCCATGACACCTTTTCAACACTTTTATCTTTACGTTCCCACCGCCTTTATTAACTGTTTTTACACTTACACCAAAACAATGTGTGTGTATATGTTTGTTTGTAGCTTTACAGACAGATTGTAATCACCTTGAAAATTAAAACTATATCTTTTTAATTTTCCATAATTTCAATCAGAAAACTATTCATTAGTGTTCATTAGCTATTCATTGATTCATTTGTGTACTTCGTATTGATAACATTGAGGTGGTTTACATTTTGGGGACACCACCAAATGGAGGAGAGCCTTAACATATCTAGAACAGAGTTTTTTTGTTTTTGCTTGTAGTTTTTTGTTTTGGTAAGTAACAAGTTGTTGAGGGTTCTTTTTTTTTTTTCCTTCAGCTTTTAAGTTCTAGAGTGCATGTGCAAGATGTGAGGTTTGTTACATAGGTAAATATATGCCATTGTGGTTTGCTGCACAGATCAACCCATTGCCTAGGTATTAAGCCCAGTATTCATTAGCTTTTTTTCCTGATGCTCTTCTTTCCTCTACCTCCACCCATCTGACAAGTCTCAGTGTGTGTTATTCCCCATATGTGTCTATGTGTTCTCATCGTTCGGTTCCCACTTATAAGTGAAAACATGTGGTATTTGGTTTTCTGTTCCTGCATTAGTTTGCTAAGGACAATGGCTTCCAGCTCCTTCCACGTCCCTACAAAGAACATGACCTTGTTCCTTTTTATGGCTGCATAGTATTCCATAAATTCTTCTAGTTTAAAAACCCAAATGTAACTCTCTACCAAAAAACAGGTTATTCCAAAACGATATACTTTAATCAGTAATTATATTTCCTTACCTAAAAATCATGTCTCTTGGTTTTTTAATATCCCAATTCATAAATAACATTGTACATTTTTCTAATTATATTAAAAATTGATATTAAAAGTTACAGTTGTTTGACTATAAAGATGCCCCATAATCACATGACTCTAAAACATTTTGCTTCTCTTTTTATAGGCCCTACTTTTATCAAATGTTTCTCGACAAAAGTTTTCCACTGGAGAAATTATTAACTTGATGTCAACAGATGCTCAGCAACTCATGGACATGACATCAAACCTCAATCTCCTCTGGTCTGCTCCTTTTCAAATTCTCATGGCCATTTCTCTCCTTTGGCAAGAGCTGGGCCCAGCAGTGTTAGCAGGGGTGGCAGTCCTTGTATTTGTTATACCAATAAATGCTTTAGCTGCAACCAAAATAAAAAAGTTAAAGGTAAGAAAATGATGGCCTCATGTTACATGCGTAAACAGGAGCTGAGTTTTCTGACAGCAGTTAACAATCACCATCTAGCTAGTCTTATAGAAAGAGTTATCAATGGAAGTCATCCAAATTTATTATTGACTTATTCATTCAACCAGTATTGACCAAGCATGTATCCTATGTCAGCCAGTGTTCCAGGCACAGGAAGCACAGCAGTGAGGATAATGGACAAGTTCCAGCTCTCATGAGCATAGTGGAGGAGACAGGCATTAAGCAAGTAAATAAATAGAAAATATTTACATCAGAAGAAGATTTAGCAAAGATAAGGAGATGAAGAGACCAAGGACGCCATTTTACATTTATAACCAGGAAAGTCCTCAGGAAGGAAATGGTATATCAACAGGATGAAGGAATAATTCATGTGGACGTCTGAGGAAAAGACATACCAAGCAAAGGGAACAGTATACGCACAGCCTGGAGGTAGGGGTATGCTTGGTTGTTTGAAAAGTGGACTACTGGCTGGGCGCGGTGGCTCAAGCCTGTAATCCCAGCACTTTGGGAGACCGAGGAGGGTATATTACGAGGTCAAGAGATTGAGACCATCTTGGTCAACATGGTGAAACCCCATCTCTACCAAAAATACAAAAAAAATAGGTGGGCATGGTGGAGCATGCCTGTAATCCCAGCTACTCAGGAGGCTGAGGCAGGAGAATTGCCTGAACCCAGGAGGCGGAGGTTGCGGTGAGCCGAGATCGCGCCATTGCACTCCAGCCTGGATAACAAGAGCGAAACTCCGTCTCAAAAAAAAAAAAAAAGAAAAGAAAAGAAAAAAGAAAAGTGGACTACTGCAGCAAGCAGACAGAAAGTGCTTCACTAAATTATTGTTGATATTCTTCCTTTATATTCAGTCATTCATCTTACCATCAATATATGTTTTCACATTTTGCCATGTGTTAGACTGCACAGTATTCTGTCCTATAAGCAAATGGAAAAACCATAGAGTCCATTGCACAGAAGGAAATCACACTGCAATGAGATAGACGCTTTCACATGTCAAATTAACAGAGGCAGATGTATTGCTTATGAAAACAGTATTTTAAATGGATCAAAGATTAACAATATATATTGACATGGGAATATGTCAGTTATATTTTAGAGCAAAAAGTAGATTAAATATATGCATGTATATCAAGCATATATGTATCTATATCATAGATTCATTATTAAAATGTGAATATATCTAAACACGTGTGCAATGGAGAGATAAATAAATGAAGATACATAGCTATAAATATATTTGCATAAGCATAGACGTGGTCTAAAGATAAAGCAGCAGTGTTTTAGGAATAGTTACCTGTAAAGTAGAATTAGACAGGAGGATAGATTTTTACTTATTACTTTAATACCCTTAAGGGACTAAAAATTGTATAGTATTTTATATTTTTCTTATTTTTTCAAATAAAAGATGACTGCTCTTTAAACATAAAACTAGAAAATAGCATATAATTTTGAAGTAAAGGTATTTAGCATGCTAGTGTTTAGAATAACATGTTTGTTTATAGTTATAATAAATGCTTTTAACTAGTTTTTAAGAATATATTCTGGATTTTTAAAAACTGCTATTTAAAAGCACATTATTAGGAATGGAAATGTATTTTTTGAACCTTAATCTAGATTCCTAGAACCTTCAACGAGATTTCAATATTATGTCCAAATATACTAAAAAGAAAATATGCCTTTAAGTCACACACATAATATTATTGTATTAAATCACACACAGAATATGATGGATATTAGCTTGTAAATGGATTTTTTTATAAGATATACAAATACCTGTGTGTATGACATAAAGTGCCAATGGCAATGGAGAAAACACTTAAGAAATGATACCCAAACAAGTATAAAATATTATGACAATTGTTAAATATTTGAATAAAATACAATTGCATAACATTGATAAAAAGAAGAGTATTTGAAAACATAAATTTTAATTATTCTAACTCTTAAAGAACAAATAAAATTTGGAGAAAGCCTTATTTTTATTCCTGTGACTCTTCCGTTATAAGTATGTATATAAATAGTTAATGGAGCTTTTAGAAATGTGTTCTATTTTAGTAGGATGTGAGTGTTATTTTATTATTCAATTTTAAACAAATTATGTTTAAATAAATATTACATTTTATACTATTCTATACTGGTTTTAGTCTCCTGTTGGCTATCTTTGTTACCTATTTATAACTATCTTCCACCATTGTCAATAGAATAATGTATAAATATTGTAAGATGCTTTTATCCACTAAATCTTAAATAACATAGAGAAAACAGACATATTTTTAAAATAGCTATGGCCATATCAGTAAAAGTATTATCAACTTTGTCATATATTTTTAAATTTTCTTTCCATTAAATAGAAAAGCCAAAGAAAGATCAAAGATAAACAGATAAAGCTGCTGAAAGAAATCCTACATGGAATTAAGGTAATATAAAAGGGATATGCCTTTGACTTGACTATTTTGAGTATAGAAATACAAATGACGTTAGTACTGTTCTCAATATCTCAGAGCAATTATAGATATATAATTGTGGGCAGAAAATTTCAGATTTCAGATACGTAGGAATTCTTATCACTAAAATAACATTTAAATGCCCAGCCAAATAAAATGCAGCCATTTTCTTTTTGTTTCTCACACAAGTGAACACAAATATCCTAAAAGTCACAAAATATTACTTATTTTAAGTAATTATGTTGAAAAGATGGGATGAAGCAGGCAAGAATGGTAATAACACACTTATCAATGTAATGGCAGATTTACATAAGGGAAGTGATGACACGTCATTTAGATTATTTTATGTGGTTACAAATGATCATATGAATGCTATTTTATAAAAAATATGTTGCAAATTATTTTTCCCTAGGAAAGCTAGAATAGTTTAAAAATGAGAACAGTCAGTATCCTTGGGGTCTGACAATGGTGTCATAAAGCCTCTCTCTGACAATCCTGATAATTGCTACAATTTGTTAAATATTTTCTGTCCATCAAATGCTGTGCTTATTACTCTATATGTGTTTTCTCATGGAATTCTTATAAACCGCAGAAAAAGATTCCCCATTTCCATTTTATTAACTGGGAAACAAAGGCACTGAGAAGTTAAGGGGCAGGTCTAAATTTACAAAACCAGTGAGAATGTATTAGAGTTTTCCACAGAAACAGAATCAATATGAGATTTCATACATAGAGATATAGAGATACAGGTATATGAATAGAGATTTAAGAAACCAGCTTATCTGATTGTGGGGGCAGGCAAGTGTAAAATCTGTAGAACAGCTGGGCAAACTGAAAATTCTAGCAAAAATTGATGCTGCAATCTTGAACCTGAAGGCAATCTGGAAGCAGACTTCCTTCCCCCTGAGAAACCTCAGTCTTTTCTCTTAAGGCTTTCAAATGATTTGATAAGGACCACTCATAAAACAGAGGGTAATCGTCTAACTCAGAGTTTAACTAATTGAAATGCTAACAACATCTAAGAAATACCTTCACAGAAATATCTAGACTCGTGTTTGAACAAACAACTGGGCCCCATAGCTCAGTCAAGCAGTCACGTAAAATGAAGCATCACATAGAGACAGAGCTGCAATTTGAATGTAAATCAATTCACTCTAAAGTATATGCAATAAGCCAGTGTAGGATCTTATTTCCCCACATTTTCTGCCTCAGAAAATAGTTTACAATCTCAAAACACTAGTCACCTTTCAGAGAACGGCTTGAAGTCCCAAAACATCTGTCTTGAAGAAACTGGAAAGCCAGGGAAACGAGTTTAGCTATAAGAAACAGATAATAGAAAGAACTGAGAGCTGGACCAGCAAGAAGAGTGACAGAACTGAGCTAGACCAAAACTGTCTATGGAGTTCTGTGGAGTTCATGCCTAGAGCTGGCATGTTGTCAGAGTCTGTCTCAGAAATAAGTTATTGGGAGTTGTGGGGACATAAGGCTGGAGGATGGTGATTCCCTCTTTCTGCTCTGCCCCATCCCGAAAATACCACAATTTAAGAAAATTTTGATTCAATCAAAGTGGGAGCAGTTTAGTTTTTTTTTAATGGTTATACCATCATTTTTAACTTTCATAATTGTGTGTGTGTGTCTATGGCATTTGGGTGTGTGTGTGCCTGTGTATGGCATTTGTTAGTATGTGTGCATTTCTTTCTTCTATGATATAAATTGTCAGATAATTTTTGTCTGAATCATTTACAGATCCTCAAACTGTACGCATGGGAACCCTCCTATAAAAATAAGATTATCAAAATTCGAGATCAGGAATTAGAATTTCAAAAATCAGCTAGGTATCTTACTGTATTCTCCATGCTGACATTAACTTGCATTCCATTCTTGGTGAGTGTATGTCATATTTCCTGTTTTGATTTTCAAATCTGATCTAGAGATTTAACTCCAAATTACTTGGAATTAGGATGTTTAAAGTTAAATTGTATGTATCTGAATTAAAGTTTAACCAAATACATTAATTAACTTATGTGGATTAGAGAACGAAAGTTGTAAAAAAAGAGAAAATATTGTATGTGTTTTCATTGGTATGTATTTTCAAAATATAATAAGATTTTACTTTTTTGTGAATTTCTCAGAGATTTCATATATGCCTCTATCTCTTAAAAACATAATCTACATTTCAGAGTTTCATTCCAGTTTTAAAATTTAATATGCACAATTAATTCCTTTTAAGTAGACTCAAAGGGCAGATTAAATGGAGTTGAGAAGTGAAGCAAATTTATTGAGTTGTTACTGAATGTCAGGAAAATTACATACATTGCCTTATTTCAATCTCATCATGATAAGGCTTTATTTTTATCATTTCACAAGAGGAAATGGAAGTCCAGAGTAGTTGGAAACATCCTCAAAGTTATAAAACTAGTATTTAGAGGCTATTTGACATCAAGTGACATTATTCTCTTTCTATTACACCATGTAATACACATTGGGAATCCCATGCTATTTTAACTAGAGTATAAATTGCCTTGGGATATGAAGCCATGGACAAAAGCCAGGGGAAAAGCAAGCCACCTGTAATCAGAGCATGCATCAATTTTAATCAAAGTTGCTACTCTTTGTGGATAATTTAAATTTTTTTTTCAACAAACATATGAGTATTATGGAAGTGAAAGCAATATATATTTGGAACACATTGGTAAAACCATCCAAGATGTATTTGCTTAAGCCTGGACTACATACATGACAGTAAATCCATTCTCATTCATGAATGAATTTTTCCTGCCTTTTCTAAATGAAACTTATAAGAACAAATATAAATCTTAGCCATGGTATATTCATATCTTCCTCAGTTAATCTTATGACACAAAGAAAGCATAATTATTATATGTAAGTCAGAATGTATGCACACGCAACTGGAAAATAAGTTTACATAGAACTTCTGAAGTTTAAAGAAAAGATGAACTGGTATACAATGTAAATGAAAATAATAACTGTAGTAAGAATATAACATGTCTTAAAAGAAAAGTTCTGGACTACATGTTCTCAAGGATGTCATTGTCCAAGACACATGATTTTATGACCTGTACTAAAATATATTTTATGCTCTTCAGCAAGAGTACTAAATTTTAGGAAACAAACAGAATTATTTAGATTTTCTTTTTCTCATTTTTGGAACTGTAACTAATAATGTTGTTATCAGTAGAAATTTGAAGAAAATAACATATCTCTATTTTTTAGGTGTCCCTGGCAACCTTTCGTGTTTATTTCTTACTGAATGAAGAAAACATTTTAACAGCCACTAAAGTGTTCACATCGATGTCTTTGTTTAATATTTTAAGGATTCCTCTGTTTGAGTTACCAACGGTGATCTCAGCTGTGGTCCAGGTACACACAGAGTACCTAAAACTAAAAATCATTCCCCTACTGGAATCTATGCTTTGCGACATTTTGTTTCTTTGTCTTTTTATTTATTTTATTTTATTTCACTTCATGTGGTTAACGCTGCACTCAAAATTAGTCTTCCTGAATTAATAAGTAATACAGAACACTATAGAATGAAAAGAATCATGTTTTCCTTGCTTGTGTTTTTTTCCCATCAAAGTGACTTTTAAATATTTCAGTATATTATTTTGTTTTCTTAAGTGTTAGGTTCTCTACTTAGCATTTTTAAAGCTGGTGTTAGCCACTATGCCATCACAGGATTCATTTTCTGTTTCCAATGGAAAATTTTTAGTTAGATGCTTTATATGAAACTGGATCAAATGTTTTCCCAGAGTTCAGCAGCATTTCATCTATACTGAATGAATAAGCAGGGAGAAAAGCACATTGATACTATCAGTCAGCCAACAAGCCACATGTGAGATATCTGGGTCAGCCTGCTTTTAGTTGTAATCGCTGGTTCCTGTAGGCTAGATACAATGAGTAGATTGATGCTAAAGCCACAGGCAACCCAAAAAAGTTCCTTGAGCCTTTTACCCTGAGATTTCTGGTCACATTTTTTGGATGTCAGGTTTGAGTCATCTGGCCATTCGCCATTGAATTCTTTGCCTCAAATCTAGATTCATAAACAAAGTGACTATTTGCTGATTGGAATCATCCCTTTAATCTAAGAACTTTCCTCTTTAAAAAATATTATTTGAAAAAGGAGTAACGTAATTGAATAGTAAAGACCAATGAAGCCATTTTTGTTACAACTTTTTAATGTTGTTTTTCTTAAAATAACCAACAGAGGGCATAGAAGAACCATTGATGTGATGCATTTAGCTTTGATTTCATAACACACTTTTCTTAAAGAAAATGTCAGTTCGTAGAGTAACACTTTTGTTCTACATTTGAAATTAGAATCTAGCTAAAGGTCCGGTATCAAAGTCTTTTCCAATTCCTAGCAGTACACTGCTGCCTTCACTTAAGGAGAACAATTTTCCAAAATGGAAAGAAAGAAAAAGCTAGCTGTATGTTCTGATTTGGCACACGTGGTAAACAAAACCACAACCTAATTACATCTTATGTGCTAACAATACAAGTCCCCTAGCACAAAGTAAATAAAAATGTACTAGAAATTTTATGGGTCAGTTTCCAGAAAACGATTTAATTTTATTTATCCTAATATAGCTAAACATTTTATAGCTATTTTACTATATTACTATTTACTATTTTACTATACTTGAATATTATTATTGTTAACATTATAGTTTTATTTACCATCAGTAGTAGAATTCACTCACCGATCTTAAAGTTGCTTTTAAGACCTAATTTTTCTACAGCACAAGGAAATACCACCTCGCACCTGTTAGCATGGCTATTATCAACATGTCAAAGAATAACAAGTGTTGGCAAAGATGCTGAGAAAAGGGAACCCTTGCATACTATTGGTGGGAACACAAATTGGTATATCTGTTATCAAAAACAGTATGGAAGTCCCTCAAAAATTCAAAATAGAATTACCATATGAGACAGAAATCCCACTTATGAGTAAATATCCAAGGGAAATAAAATCACTATCTTGAAAAGATATGCACTCCCATGTTCATTACATCATTATTCAGGAGCCAAGATATAGACACAACCTAAGTGGCCATTGAAGATAAATTGCTAAAGAAAATATAGACATAGTTTAATAGTATTCAACATGGCAGAATATTATGCTAAGTGAAATAAACTAGACACAGAGAGACAAATACTATATTATCTCACGTATATGTGAAACCTAAAAACGTCTAACTTATGGAAGCAGAGTGAAGAAAAGTGCATATTAGAGCTCAAGGGTGACATTGGGTGGGGTAGGTGAATGAGATGTTGATCAAAGATTGTAAACTTCCAATTACAAGATGAATACGTTCTGCAGACCTAACATACAGCAAGGAAACTGTGGTTAATAATAGTGTATTGTATAGCTAAAAATTGCTAAGCGAGTAGATGTTAGGTATTCATATACACACGAGAATAAAGGTGTGTATGTGAGGCGATACATAATCGAATTAGCTTGATTGTGGTAATCATTTCAAAATGTGCATGTATATCAAAAAATCATGTTGTACACCTTAAATATGTATAATTTTTCTCAATTATACCTCAAAGAAGTCGACAAAAGACTATTCTTTCTATGACTATTAATTAGCAATTATTATAGTTATTCTAGAATAATAAATCTGATTTTTGTTTCTTTTTCTCATACCTTTCTGCATAGATGACATGAGTTTTGATTTTTGATTCTTGAAACAGCCCTTTCTCTTTAAGAATGAACATAATTATAACATTAACACAATTCAAACTATGCTTTCTATATTCATCTCAATATCTTCAATTTGCATAAAAAATTCTAATCAGGCTGTAAAATGTAATAAATAGTTTTTAGTTTAAGTTCTACTTGAACCCCAGATAAATTCCATCTGTGCTTATTTTGATAGACAAGGATATCCCTGGGCCGTTTGGAAGATTTTCTCAATGCCAAGGAGCTTCTTCCTCAAAGTATTGAAGCAGAGTATATAGGAGGTCAGCTCTTCCTCTCGGTACTTATTTGACTTCTGGACTGAAGATAATTAGTTCTAAAATGCATCATTGCCCTTTTTTTTCTTCCTTAGATCATGCTATTGGGTTTACAGATGCTTCTTTCTCCTGGGACAAAAGAGGAATACCAGTTCTAAAAGAGTAAGTCATGGTTTGGATAATTTTTTAATGTTAATATTGGGCTCTAAAATACTCCATATTTTTATTTTTTAGAGGTTTGCAATAAGATTAATATATTGAAATTAATAAGACTTTTAGCCTTTCACTTTACTTTTCATTTTCAAGGTGATTTTGTTGTCCTTTTTTCTATTATTTCTTCTACCTGCAGCACTTTACTGATCATTTGTTTGCATTTTGGAAGGGTAGGTGTTTGTAGAAAAAGGTGAAAAGCAGCAATTTCAGGGATGGTGCTAAGTGCTGCATACAGTGACTTATCTAGGAGCATATGTTAAAAACAACCATAACAAGAATTTCCTATATCACCTCTCTTCCTTTTTTCTCATGCAGCTTGAACTTAAAGATTCCAGAAGGAGTTTTAGTGGGTGTTGTAGGGCAAGTTGGGTCTGGAAAATCATCCATGCTTTCTGCCATTCTTGGGGAAATGGAGAAACTTACTGGAGTAGTTCAAAGAAAGGTAAAATCAAAAATACATTCTTTCAACATCTCCTAGTGTAACCAGCTATAGCCAATTTGTCATTAGTGTCAATAAGAATTTATCAAATTGAATTGAAGATGCAAGTATTTAATGGGTATTTCTAGTTTATAACAAACGTTTCAATTCCATAGAAATTGATTAACTATGGGTGAATGAGTAACAGAATTCTGATCTCCAAATACACCAGCAAATCATTTATAAATGCTTATGGTAATTGTTTGATGATATTAACTGAATTACAACCAGTTATAGAGAAACAAATGTGATTTTATATTATAATTTGATTAGGTATCTAATTATTATTCAGCAAGATTCCCTAAGTAATTACAGCCATTTCATTTCCAAGAAGTCTTAGAGCTACTCACGGGTAGGATCTTTGACTGAAAATAAACCTCAGAAAAATAAAGATATTAATAATGTACATTTAAGATTCAGCATCAGGACCATGGAGAGGTCTGCTCTTGACTAATTGTTCTATTCTTAAAGGTTGATAATAATAATAATTCAACAAGTTCTTTATCAACTTTCTTTTTTCAAACAGTAGACTACCCAATGATTTTTTCCTTGGATGTAATCAACTCTTAGGTAAAATACTAAGTAGCCCAATCTTTCCTTCTCACCTGTGACAAGACGAATAAGCTTTATGTACCTGAGATTAGTATCTCTTCACTCTTAATTCTTTTCTTTCCTCTCTGGGAAAAGTCAACTCTAAATTCTTTTATTTTTCCTCATATATTTGTTTATGTCCTTACATCTTTCCTGATTCCAGTCCTTGGGTGACTAATTTTTTGTTATCTCAACATTACTGTTAGCCAGTCTAGAAGCAAATTTGATTCCTACGACTTTTTCTGATGATTGCATTTAATGAGCACCACTATTTTTTAACCTTAAATATACTATCTTTGTACCACTATGCTGTTCATAGCAATTGCAGTTAGCCATTTCTCTGCATTTCAAGATGGCTGTACCTTTCCTTGGGTGTACCTTACAAACATAATGTGTGTCATATTAATTTCATTTTTGTTTAGTTTTTTCAGCTATTTTCACTAAGCAATTACTGAGCACCATGCTATGTGCCTAGCACCTAGTGCCAGAGAAGTAAATATGAATAAGACATACTGCTCTTCTTTCAAAGATCGTAGTCTAGAGAGGGAATACCATGATCAATTATAACAAATGTCTAAGTTAGACATAAAAAATGAATTAAAGCATAAAAAACAACAAATTCTGCTTTGAAGTGTTCAAAAAAGAATCAGAGAGGAGGTTGCCGTTTATTTTTGTTTGTTTTTTTTTTTTTTTTTGGTTTGGGTTTTTTTTTTTTTTTTTTTTTTTTTTTTTTTATTGAGACTGAATCTCGCTCTGTCACCCAGACTGAAGTGCAGAGACGCGATCTTGACTCACCGCCACCTTCGCCTCCTGGGATCAAGCGATTCTCCTTCCTCAGCCTCCTGAGTAGCTGGGACTACAGGCGCATGCCACTATGCCCAGCTAAATTTTTTTTTGTATTTTCAGTAGAGCTGGGGTTTTACCATGTTGGCCAGGATGGGATCTATCTCTTGATCTGGTGATCCATCTGCCTCAGCCTCCCAAAGTGCTGGGATTACAGGCGTGAGCCACTACGCTCAGCCGAGGTTTCCTTTTATTTGATCTTGAAAAATAATTAGAAATTGATAAAGATAAAAATATTGTTAATTCTAGATTTCACTTAATTCATTAATAATAGTAATAAGCGGAAAAGGCTGGGATGAGAATTGCATTGGATAATGTGCAAAGACCTAGCCTATTTCCTGGAAAAGTATTAGCTGGCTCTTTATGAATATGTATGATAATCATCATCTTTATTATGACTGTTGAGGCTCTTATAATAAGATTTACGGATTATTTTTGATATCTTTGAATGTTTTTGATTAAGAAGGTGTTCATAGTGATGAAAGAAACTGTAACAATGCCATTGTTAGTGGTAAAACAGAGAGGATGCTCTTTGTTTATATTAAAGTATAGATGCCCAAGTCAAAAGATATTATCTGTTTTTATAACTGGTCGCTGGCCTTCAGGAAGCTTTTGGCCTGGATCAATAGCAGGAGTTGAAGTATCACACTCTAAATTATTTTCCCAAATATTTTTTATTCAGAATTTGTATCACCCTATCTCCATTTAAATAAAGTGAACATTATAATGGCATTTTCAAAGTGCTTTTGTGTGCTCTTTCTATTTTTCTGTGTTTTGGATGATTATTTTTGGGGGGCATATTTTAATCAACAGTATTGAAACTCTAAGACTGCCTATTGTCACTAAGCTTTCTCTATAGACTCGCTACTCTTCTCAGTATCAAAAGCTCTCACCAGGCACTGTTCATGAAAAGTATTCAGTATTCTGTGGTAGAAACATCAGAGATTTGGAGACCGTTTTTGAATTCACAAAACTTCTACTATAGTTTTATTATTAAGAATGAAACAAAATGTTTTCATTTTTATGTGAAAAGAAATAACAATAATAAAAGAGAACATTTACATCCCTGTGAAAATTGATCAACTCTTTTTCAGCTCTTGTAATACCAATAAAAGGCCATACCTTTTAATGTAGTAGTTTTTTCTTTTTTTTCATGTTGTTTAGTTTTTTCTCCTGGTTTTTTTTATCCTCTGCACTGTTCACCTTGCTTAATATATAGCAAATATTCAAAATACTATCACTCGCATGATGATTTAATATGCAGTTCTAAGCAAAGTTTAGATTATTCACTTCACAAGGCAATTGAAGAGCAATTCCTTTTGTGTTCAAGATCAGGTCAGATTAGAATTATATTGTTTTTGATCAAAAGTCATTCTGTGTCTTACACACTCAACAAAGAAGATTTAAAAGTTATTCTTTGATCTTTAAAGTAGCTGGTAGAAATCAAAAGGCTAATAATGGTTGCTTACATGTGTATGCCAGAAAATACTTCAAGTGTCTGGTATTCTTATAGAGTGTGCAGTACTTAAAATACTAAATCAATGTTTGGAATGAGTCCATGGGGCAGATTGAAAGGTAGGCCACTAGTACAAATACTGTGGGTTCTTTTACTAGAAAAGAAGGTTAGTTGAGAAGATATTTTAGGCAGCAGACTTTCATGTATTTAAAAATCATTTCAAGACATAAAATCATAAAAAAAATGAATTTGGGAGCAGAGGTTAATGTAGAACACATGGAGATTTGCTGCTCAGATCCTCCTACTAGTAGGGACTTCTACACATTACAGCTGTGGGAGTATGAACAGCAAGTCATGTCCTTCAAGGCTGGCCTGGCCTTCAGATAATGGCCTAGCCCAGGGTCCCACTTTTGCTCAGCCTGACTTGGAACAGCTGTGATGACCAATTCTCTTCCATGGCTCTCTGGAGGATTAGCTAATGCTTTCTTGGTTCTGCATCATGGTGTGGCTTCTCCCTCTGCCTAGTCTCCTTTCCTTCTTTCCTTCTGCAAGGGTTGATCCCACATAAACCACTTCTACATTAAAATCTAATTCAGTGTTATAGACTGAATTGTGTTCCCCCAAATTTCATATGTTGAAGTTCTAACTCCTAGTACCTTAGAATAACTGTATTTGGACACTGGGTGTTTAAGGAGCTAATTAAGTAAAAATAAGCTCATTTAGACAGGCCCTAATTCAATATCACTGGTGTCTTTATAAGAGGAATTAGGAGACACACACACACACACACACACGAGAGAGAGAGAGAGAGAGAGAGAGAGAGAGAGAGAGAGAGAGAGAGAGAGAGAGAGAGAGAGGGAGAAAGAGGGAGACCATGTGAAGCACAAAAGATTACAATCATCAACAAGCTAGAGAGTGGCCTCAGTAGAAATCAACCTTGCTGACATCTGATTTCAGACTTCTAGCCTCCAGAATCGTCAGAATAAATTTCCATTGTTTAAGCCATCCAGTCTATGCTATGTTGTTATTGCAGCTCTAGCAAACTGACACACTCAGCATCTGCTTACAGAGAATACTACCAGAGATGTATAGCTTGGATAGAAGCTGCAGTGAAAGTAAATAAGAAGCACAAAGTAAATCATTTGAAGGAAATTCCAAAAAGGATATAAAAGATTAAAATATGGTGCCATGATCTGTATAATTATGTTTATCTATATTAAATTTTTATTTCTATTTTAAAGCTAAAGAAGATAAAACTGTGGATTAAATATGTTGCTTTATTGTGGTGCATGCCACTTCTTTTCTCTAGTTAAGAATGCTTATTTCTTTACCTCTTTCTTTTTTAGGGCTCTGTGGCTTATGTTTCTCAGCAGGCCTGGATCCAGAATTGCATTTTGCAAGAAAACATTCTCTTTGGCTCAGTCATGAATAAAGAGTTTTATGAGCAAGTATTGGAAGCCTGTGCTCTCCTTCCAGATTTGGAGCAGCTACCAAAGGGAGATCAAACTGAGATTGGAGAAAGAGTAAGGAAACCATAATTTATCATATGAAGTAACATAGCCCCATTCAGCTGTGCTAATAAAATGTTGATGGCCTTTCTCCTGAAGTCTCGAAGAGCTATACAACTATAATTTTTAGAAAATTTTATGTAATTTCTACATAAGAGACGGCAGTATTAAGGACAAGTGATTATTTATAACTGACCGTGGAAAACAGATTAAAAATCAGTCAGAAATTCTGTTGTTAGTATACATGTGGGGGAATAAAAGCCCATTAATTAGATCATCGAACTTTTGTTTTGGTGGCTGGCACAATGCAGTCCACTTTCTGAAGAGTGACTAATAGTTTTGTTGGTTCCTGTATCTCTTGTGCACAAAGTCAAGTCTAGAATAGGAGCAAAAGAGCACCAGTCTCCTGCAGTGGCCCCTGAGTCCAGGTTCTAAAGAAGCTCTGATACAACACTGTTATTAATGTGACTTCTCCAAGTTTGCTCATCCCTGCTTAAGTGGAACTTGTTTCCCAATCATCTTACTCTTTGTTCTATTTCATTTTCATTGTGTTAGTAAACAGTTGTTACTCTGCTCAGTGTTTTGGATTTAAAAATATATATATCATGAGTGGAAGTATGAACCCCAAGAGACTATCTCCAACCCCTGACTAAAATCTCCATTAATTAAACATTAATGTAAAAGCAGCTTCTGCCCACAATTCATCTGTGCTGTAAAGATGAATAAATAATCCTTATTGAGTGTTTTGAATCCCTGAAAAGAGAGTGAGCATAACATTGTTAGACATTTTTACCCCTGCCCTCATGTTATCTAATAACTGTATTATAGAAATTAATACATGAAATACATAAGAAATTGTAGAATGTAGAAGTATATAAAATCCAGGATGAGCCAGAATTTACCTTGCAACTAGACTTACTTCATTTATAATCTACAACTTCACAGGTATATTTTCTCAATAGTTTTAAATAAATTTATTTTTTTCCAACCCCTGGCTTTCTTCTGGCATCTTCACTGTCTCTAAGAAAAATAATTTCATAGATTCCCATCTCTATTTTAAAACTAAAGAAGGCAAAACCATGGGCTAAATATGTTCCTTTACTGTGGCACATGCAAAATGATTCCCCCACGTGGATACTAAGTAAAATGCAGAAATGTGACTTCTTCAAACTTGTTAATACATGTTGAACAATATGCTGATAAATCTAATCTCTAAAAATATAAAACATCTGATATTTTGTAACTCTAAAAGCCTTTAAAAGGGAAACAAATCCAAACAAAGAAGTATAGATTTAATATCGGCATTGAATGTTATTGTCATTTATAATGTCTTATTTTTACAATTAAATTTATCCCAATTTGCATTTGGACTTTAAACATGTAGTTGAATATTTCAAAAGGAAATCTGTTTACACAATAACTGTAGACTTTTCCCCAACTTGGATTCATCTTTTCTGTTGACATTCTTTTTTTTATCACATTTATTAATTTCTTACATGCCTTTATTCACGATGGTGAGTGAGAGATCTACCACTCTGCCTTCCAGGGATTTGCAGTCTGGTGGACCTCTGCCAATAATATTTATCAGTTGTCTTTGCCAATATTTATTAATCACCTAGCCTTAGACTCTGGGTGTTGGGAACACAAGAATTAACCAGGTAGGGGCTCATACGCTAGTGAGAGAGACTGAGATAAATATTGCCAATTCTAGCAATGGGATGAATACACAAAGCACAGCAAGACAGGAAGCAGGGGAATGAATCACTTCGCTTGGGACATCAGATGAAAAGTTGCCTTCGGAGGACATTTCAGTGTGAGTAGCCCATAAGTTAAAAAGAGCGACTGTGGTCTCCCAAGCAGAGTGAACAGCCTCTGCCCAGTATGAAAGACCGGGTTAATCTGCTTGACAAACCACAGTCACTTGAAGACAACATAGGGCGAGTGGGTGAAGAGATAAGTTAATGCCAGAATATAAGCATCTTAGATTTATACTAAATAATTTTCTGTTTTTGCTGTTGCTCATGAGTGATGGAAAGAGGGAGATGTGAATATCCAAGGTTTTTAAGCAAGATGATGACACATTACAGAAAATGTGATGACAAGGTAGAGGATGAATTGGAAAGAAGAGTGACTGAATGATAATAGCTAATGTTGATGGTATCCATACTCAATGTTGAATTTTTCCTAAATTGTTTAGTCTTATTGAATGCTCCCAACAAACACATGACTTGGGTGCTATTATAAGCATATGTACACACACGGGTATTACATTGCTTTATGTATACGTATATGAGTGTGTCGGGGGAGGACATATAATTCCCATAGCTAAAATGTGACCTCCTCATGACAGACTCTGTTTTACTTATCTTTGAATCCCAAGCACTAGCATGGTACTCCAAATATAGTCATACTCAGAAGATGTTTGCTGAGTAGGAGAAGGTTGAAAAATGCAAAGAAGCAATGGCATTTTACAATTATAGGTCATTGGCTAAGTTCTGTGCTGCACTGAGAGCTTTTAAACCAGATCTGTAAACACTAAATATAAAATAATTCAAGTAAATTGGGCCTGGCCCCATAATTCTTCATGCATGGTTGTACATGTCAACTTTAATTCTCACATGGAGTGATGAATATTCTCTATTCTTGCTTCTTAGAGTTGTACTTTTGCCAACAAGACTTGTACTAATCTTTCTACGGGAGAAAATAGGACATGTTGATTACTTCTTTGGTAATTTAGCTAGTATTTTCAATTTTCTATGTGTCAATTTAAAAATAATCACTACTATCAGTATATGGTTGACAGCCAAAAGTCTTGTTTAATATTCTACAGGCACAACTTTTTAGAATTAGAGATTCAGAAATTATTTTCTCCTTAATTGTTAGCATCCTCTTTTGAGAGTAAGCAGTTAAGAGAAAGTAGATATATCTTCTAATTTGTACAAGTTAGTAATGCTAGGAAATGGGATAGGGCTAGACCTAGAAAGTCCTGGGTAAAGAACGATTGGAGCAGCATTCATCTTGGGTTGCCATCTATCCATGCTATAAAAGAGCATTTAGATGTAACTGCACATGCTTTGAGATATATACACATTTCCTCTAGTCTTGTTTTTCTTCTGCTTCATTTTCAGGGTGTGACTATAAGTGGGGGCCAGCAACATCGAGTAAGCCTGGCCAGAGCTGTCTACAGTGGGGCCGACATCTACCTCCTGGATGATCCCTTGTCTGCTGTTGATGTTCATGTTGGAAAGCAGCTTTTTGAAAAAGTGATAGGGTCCTTGGGTCTTTTGAAAAACAAGGTATCCATAGTTTCCTTTATGCTTTCTTGTGGGGCAGGGAATCGGCCCAGCATTGTGCCTAAAATTCCATTTATTTTGTTTGTTTGTTTAAGCAAAGTAGTCACATTTCACATGAAAATACTGGATGCTTAGATTGTGATTTCACAGGCAAATTTTAATGGGTAATTTCAAAGTTTTACTTAAAAGTTTACTCTGGTGACAATTTATGTGATTGTTATATCTTCATCTAATACCATATCCTAAGGGGATTTATGTGCCATAATGAGTTGTTACTGAATAAAGTGATTTTTAAAATGGTATTTTGGTGCACACTACTGTTATTAAGAATTGAATCATTTTATTGATGATTTAAAGCATAAAATTAGATATTATTAACATAACAATAGTAGTGATTCAACTGTTTTGTGAAGGGGCCAAGAGGATGAAGATTAATATTTACCAGTACCTGCCGTATTTTGCAGTGTAAATTAGTTCAGTTATCCCTATTTCACATATAAAGGACCCCAGGGCGCACAATGACTTGATATAGGTTGCTCAACTCAAGAACAGTAGATACGTTTAAAATTATGTCTGACTCCAAAGCCACATTTATTTCTTCATAATATGTGTTTATGGAATTATTTGTATAGAGAACTCTGAAAAACATATGTATAAAATTATAAAATATATGTCTCAGTAAAAATAAACAAACATCTTTATATAATGACATAAACCCAAGATTTAAAATGTCACACTTCATTGTATGTATATGTAGAAAATAATATGAATGACTTAAAAATAAATACTATAAATTATAACTTGGATTAAACACTTTTTTGTAATGATACTGTATATTTACAAATAAGCGAGAATGACATATATGAAATTGTTTTGAATTTGCAGTTAAATTGATTCATTTCTAATGAGTGAAAAAAATACCTGAACTAAAGTGTTAAAAGTCAAATTTACAAACTATTTCCTCATCTAACAGCATGTCATTATTCCTTGTAAAATATATAGATGCCGCCTTAAACTGGCATCTACAAAAAATCATACTTGAAATAGTAAAGGAGAAAAAGTCACTATAGCTTTTTTAAAAAAGCTATTTTTTGTAACCTATGAAACAAAACACTTTGTTTTTCAGACTCGTATTTTAGTGACACACAATCTCACACTTCTGCCACAAATGGATCTTATTGTTGTAATGGAAAGTGGCAGAGTAGCTCAAATGGGAACATACCAGGAGCTGCTGTCTAAAACCCAAAATCTCAGGAATTTGCACCAAGTCATCAGTGAAGAAGAAAAAGGTAAGGGCACAATGAAAAACAAACTTAAGATACAGTACACCTATTCATTTTGAAAGTTCATTAATTGTGTAATTTTATACTATAAATTTTATTCATCTTGCTTTAGTCAGGGGTGGGGCACCTTTCTTTCCATAGGAAGGAAGCAAATACAGTGAGACAAACAGTTAAAAATCAAACTCATTTATGAATTTTAAGAAAAGTTTTAAATTCCCTGGGATCTATTTATTCATTTATGAAATAAGAAATTAGATTACTAACAAACACTAGTCCAAGTCTAAAATATCATGACTCTAAACATTATATCTTCTTTCAGCTAAGAACCGGGAACACATGTGAAATAAATAATACATATTTTAAACATCTAGGTATAATATAACACATTTAGGAAGAGAAACAAAAGAAAGAAATTGGGAAAGGCAAAGGGAATAACGTTTGTCCAACTTTTACAAATTAACTATTGGTTTTGTTGATTAATTTTTACTACTCTAGCCCTAGAATATTACATTAAGATATATGGACATTTTAAAATAAAAGAAGTAGTTTGATCCTTAGCCAATGTGTAAGATGCAGAAATGCTTGAAATCCAGCATTATGTTAAAGCTGGGGAATGTGCCATCATCTCTTTTTAAAGCTATAGATGGTTTGTCATGTAGAGACCATAATATTTTTTCTATACTTTCCTCGATCCTTCATTTATACCTTTCCAGAACACTGCAATAAACTAACTGTAAAACCAGTTAACTCTTTCATAATTTCAAGATAAAAGAAGAAATATAGAGCTAGTCTCACTATTTTCTACATGAGCTAGTATCCATTAGCTCATCTGACACTTTTCCTTGATATAAAGTCCTAAAAATATGAAATTGGTTTATAACAAGTCAGTACAATTTATCATTTTAATGCCATGGAATTCAAAAACAAAGTCATTCTGCTGAAGTTTCTCTTTGGGATCTAGGGTCACACACATTCGTTTTGTAGTACTACTTTTTTAAATTCCTTGTTTGTCCACCTTTCTCAAATGACAAATATTCTATTTGCAAAATTATTTGGTGCATTGTCAGATGACTGCTGCCATCCTTAACAAAAGAAGCACTTCCTTCTCTCTTTTTATTTTATTTTATTTTATTTTATTTTTTGAGATGGAGTTTCGCTCTTGTTACCCAGGCTGGAGTGCAATGGTGCGGTCTCGGCTCACCGCAACCTCCGCCTCCTTGGTTCAGGCAATTCTCCTGTCTCAGCCTCCTGAGTAGCTGGGATTACAGACACATGCCACCATGCCCAGCTAATTTTTTGTATTTTTAGTAGAGGCGGGGTTTCACCATATTGACCAGGATGGTCTTGATCTCTTGACTTCATGATTCGCCCGCCTCAGCACCCCAAAGTGCTGGGATTACAGGCACTTCCTTCTCTCTTAATGGCTAGCAACTTTGGAAGTGATTCCTTGCCTTCTTAGACAGGTTAAACAATAATTTATGCTTCTTGTGTAGAAAACAGATGTCTAGGAGTGCCTCCTAGACTAGAAGAATTTATTTACTCTATCCCTATCACTTAGGTAGCCTCATGCTAAGCAAATTACAAGTGCTCAGTAGTTGTTTGTTAAGCATGTGAAAGTTTATCCCCTCAGTAGTTAACAAGGCACTATGGAATGCTATAAGCCAGTGTCTTTCTTGTGCTGTGTGGCCATTTATTTTAAAGGTCACATGAAATATAGATGGCATGACTTTAGAAAATATCATTCCAAAAGTAGGCAGTGTGTAAGCTTTAAATTATATCTTTAATTTGCCATAAAATATGAACAGTGTATCTTTTGAAACCTGTGGAATTTGCTATTGTTTAAATATCCAATTTGGGAAACAAAATCCCACCTTTTCTGCATTTGTATAACTTCTTATGTACAAGTGCCCTCTACTGTAACAGAATCAAAGCAGTAATATTCTTGAAGTTTGGCTGATAGATGTTAATAGATCTATTAATAGATGTTACCAACTCACAATCAGAAATTTACCAGAGTTAGAAAAATGTAACTTGAACTTCTTTCTAATTATCTCAGTATTTCTGTCTTTTCCATGACAATCAGGAAGATGGAAAGTAGAGAAAATCTTTACGCCGGAAATAGAATGTGTTATTAAAAATGAATATTCTGGAATATTAATTTTTTTGAATACTGGATAAAAAATATATATATAGACATATACTCACAATAAAAACTAGATAGCCAGATAAAGAGATAATCTGTAAAAGGTTAGCCTTTTACAGCCTTTTAGTATGATTTCCTTGGCCACCATAAGGAGCAAGGCAAAAATGGATTTTAATATCAAACCCTCCATTAAATAATAGCTTACGTTCAGCGTGATGTCCCCGCAATGTTGCCCCCTAAACCGAGGCCAACTGAACCTGGCCCTGTACTTCATGCTTTTGTCACTTCTCACTCTAGTGTTCCTTGCATGGCTCTCTGACCAGCAGTGTCCTCCCTATTTCCCACTTCCTGACCATTCTAAGTATTCAGGTCCCAGGATTTTCTGCTCAAATAATGGAAGCTTGCTTTTGGGACCTGGGCTATCATTCCTCAGATTTGTTCTCTCAAGGGCAGACTGCTCTGCTGGCATGCATCATTCCTTGGCCTGAGGATGTTTACTCTTGCAGGTGGGAGAATGAGTAGAGTCTGGACATGTGAGCTGAAGTATCCACAGATGTGCAGGGCCTTCGGAGTGAAGTGTGGAGCTTGGGAGGGGGAGCAGAGCGGCAAAGGCCTTGGCTGGGACTGACTCATCAAGGACTGTCATGTCCCCCAGAGGAAGAAGTCTCAGGAATCTAGACATTCTCACCTGATTCTTGCCTTCCAGGTAGCTTGGAAGGTATATTTGTCAGAGAAAGCAATAGAACTTGAGTCTTTTAGTCTTTAGTCATCTATGACTATTAAATAATTGAAAATGCAGCATGTGAGCTTTATTTGCTCTGGTTCCAGAGATTTTAGGTGCAAGTCTCTCCCCATGGGAAATTTCTTTTTTTTATTTGCATAAATAGCAAGGAGAATTGGATTCTGTTTGAGCATTTTTTTGCTGAGATTTAGAAAAATTACCTGGCAGAGAGTAGGCTGTGAGAAGTGTGATCACTTTGTGATCTTTCATTTTTTTATTATAATTCACTCTTTTTGGTCTTGAGTCTGTTCAAGAATTTCTTTAAAAGGTACACACAATTCTTCCATTTCAAAATTCTTGTTAATTTGTGTGTCACTACAATGTGAGTGCAGTAGTCACGCCTCATCTACAGGGGATGCATTCCAAGACCCCAGTGGATGACTGAAACTTTGGATAGTACCTAACTCTGTATGTACTATGCTTTTTAAATTCCATATATGCCTATGATAAACTTTAATTTATAAACTAGGCACAGTAGGAGATTAGCAATAGCTAATAATAAAGTAGACCAAGATACCAGCATCACTACTCATGTGCTTTGGGGCCATTATGAAGAGAAGTAAGAGTTTCTTGAATACAAGTGCTTTAATACCATGACAGGTGATCTAATAACACAGAAGTCTCTTAAGTGAACAACATGTGGGGAGCATCTTCAACGATGCTCCCCACATGTTGTTCACTTAAGAGATGATTCACTAGCCAGACAGAGCTAGACAACGAGATGATTCACTAGCCAGACAGGACAAATGAGGACAGTGCAGTATTTCCTCAGGCCACTCAGGACAGCAAGCAATTTAAAACATGAATTGTTTGTTTCTGGAGGTTTTCATTTAATATTTTGGAGCATGGTTGACAGTGGGTAACTGAAACAGTAGGAAGCAAATTGCAGGTAAGGGGGAACTACTGTATAGGTCAGCCCAACGTTGTGGAATAAACAGTGGACCAACTGTTAGGAATCCTGGGATCTAGTTCTCTCACTGAATAACCATGTTGGTCTTCATCAAATGACTTAATTCTTATGGTTCTTCCCGTTTGTGAAATGCAGTGCTTCAACTTGCTCTGTTTTCCCTAGTGGCAGACATGAAACTGAACAATTCGGTTATTATCTCTCTCCTGCCCCCAAAACTGCTTGTTACTCAGCCAATTCTTTTTCTTTCCCAATCATTCTTATTCTCATTGCTGAAGTTAATGACAGGTAACTTAAAAAGTAAATGGTAGAAAGTATTGTTTGCAGTGTAATTTGGGTTTGGATATATCAAATCTCTAAGATTCCATCTAGCTCTAAAAAAATCCTAGAGTCTTGCCTTATGGAAATATCATATAAGATAATCAAATCAGAGGTCAAAAATGAGTTATAAAGAAAAACATAAGAAAACTAAAGAGAAATTTTACATATTTACAGATTTAGGGTAGGCTAATTCTTATCCTAATTATACTGATGTTAGCTTGTATGTCGTGGATATTAACAATGTCAGTATATTCATCAGTTTTACATTTACTTAATCCGCCCCCAAAGCTCCAGTGACTGCCATGGTCCTCATTTTACAGAGATTAGGTGTCTTTCTCAAATTAAGACAGAAGGTAAGTGACAGCATTTGAATCCCATGCTACTTCTGTTTCAAGCCAGAGAACAACCAAGCTCTTAAACATTGTATCAAGTGTGTAGGAATAAGTACATTGACTTGGTACTGACTTAGAGTGATGAGAGAGTGGCCCACTCTCATTTACTGATGCTTGCTGTTTCCCCAATACTTGCTTTCCTCCCATGCCCTGTCTTAAGCAATGCTGGGTTTCAGGCAACCCACTTATCCTCTCTGATTTTTATTTTTCCTCATGCAAAATATAGGTGATTTTACTTATTCTCTTATCAGGCCCTTTGTGAGCTCAGTTTGTATAATGCATGTGAAAGCATTTTATAAATTGAAAATTAAGAAATTTAAATATTATTATTAAAGGCTATAAGAATGAAAATATGCCCTAGAGGGAGAGGCTGAAACACCTTCACACTGAATTTGCACTCTTTGAGATGTGGAATCGCCATGTTTCATAGAGATGGTTGAGATCAATCAGATTCTTCCATTAGGGGCTAGACATTCCCTTCTAGAAAAAAGAAAGCATAGAATTCGTACAAGAGACCATAGAAATCTCTGAATCCAATTCCTTCTTTTTACAGATGAGAAACTTAAAATTCAAAGAGTTCAACTATTGTACTATAAATAAAGACAAAAATCTGTCTAGCACTGAGGTATTTACCATCAAATTCTCTAGCCCATTTACCATCAAATTCACTAAGGTTACTTGAACCTCAGTAGCTGATAGGTCTAGATGTATGACCTTAGTTTGTGTTTCCTGCTTAAGATCTCAGTGCCTCAGTCTTTTTAATCCCTAAAATAAGGATAATAACTATAGCACCTTTCTCATAGGGCTGGTTTTGAAAATTAAAAGAGATATACAAAGCCCTTAGGGCAATGCCTGTCACATAGGATGCAGTTATTACTGTTGGTGACATTTGTAAGACAACAACCGCTTTGGTTAATTTACCATTGTTTTCTTACTAATCTTCACAAGAATCACATTTGTATAAAGGCCTCATGAAATTACATGTTTCTTTTAATGGCTGGAGTGGTGTTCCTCTGGGGAAATACTTAGCTCTTCTCTGGAAGATCTGAAATATGTTAGCATCCCTCTCAGAGGGACACTGAGAGAGTTAGCATCCCTTTCTCAGAGAAAAAAAAAGAATTTATCTTTAGATTTTTTCATTATGAAATCTCAGTTTTACTATGAGATTACAGGACATTTTAGGACAAGCCGAAATAATGGAGAAAATAAAAGGGCTCCCAGTAAACCTACGATCTAGAACCTAAAAATCTCTCCAATTTGTGTAATTCTCCATTATACTTCACTCTATTTTGCTTATTGTTTGCTTATAATTTTGGATATAAAAGTACATACTGTCTTTCTCTCCAGCTCATGCTCTAAAGCAAGTTAGTGCAGTCAACTCCAGAACTAGACAAAAAGACCAAATCCTGGAGCAAAAAGACAGGTGAGTATCAGGAAATGCCAGACTCACTGGGATTATGGACCGATTAATTACCTTTTTTTAGCGTTTGAACACATTCTGTAAAAAAGAGCCATACATTATAACAGATATAAAATGTACTTAGTGGTTTCCAATTCTAAACTACAAGTTAGATGAATGTGTCTAAATTTTTAAGTGAGATGGATGAGACTTAGTTTGGAAAACATATGCTCATTAGATTCCTAGCTATTTCTAGCCAAATTCTAGTAGTAGAAATTTAATTTGATTGCCAAATCATCCCCATCTCATAGCATTCATACACTCTACAGATGAGAATGTGAAAATAGGCTTTGAACATGAACATTTCACAATGGATTGGGATGATTATCAAGACAGGATATGTGAGCTAGACATATAGACTTAGTGTAGTACCTGAAGAACCTGCCTAGAAAAATGGGAGAAAGAAAGAAAAAGAGAGAGAGAGAGAGGAGGGAAGGAAGGAAGGAAGGAAGGAAGGAAGGAAGGAAGGAAGGAAGGAAGGAAGGAAGGAAGGAAGGAAGGAAGGAAGGAAAAGAGAGTAGAAAGGAAGGCAGGAAGGAAGAGGGGTGGGAGACAGGAAGAAAGGGGTAAATTGTGGTCTTAGGTTTTTACATTTTTTTTTTTGCAAGTGATGAAAATGAACAGTGACTGAGGCAAATTTATCTAATCGGTTCTTTCCCAATATTTCTTCCCATCAGTTGCCTAAACAGAAAGTCAAAAGATAATAAGTAATATGAATAAAAAGATTATAGGCTGGGTGCATTGGCTCACACCTGTAATCCCAGCACTTTGGGAGGCCAAGGTGGGTGGATCACCTGAGGTCAGGAATTCGAGACCAGACTGACCAACATGGTGAAACCCCATCTCTACCAAAATAGAAAAATTAGCCAGGCATATTAGTGCACACCAGTAATCCCAACTATTCGGGAGGCTGAGGCAGGAGAATCACTTGAACCTGGGAGGCGGAGGTGCAATGAGCTGAGATCGTGGCACTGCTCTCCAGCCTGGGTGACAGAGCAGGATTCCATCTTAAAAAAAAGAGAGAGAGAGAGAGAGAGAGAGAGAGAGAGAGAGAGAGAGAGAGAGAGAGAGAGAGAGAGAGAGAGATTGAGATTATAAAATAAGTGTCTGGAGTTATAGGGAGCAGCTTATGATTGCTAAAATGGAGAACTGGGACAGATTACAGGGAATCAAGCACTTTAGGCTCCAAGGGCTCAGAATGTGGCAGTTTTGACCTTGAATGGAAGAATAAGTCTTGAATGTATTATTTTTTAAAGAATTGGATATGCCTAAGGATGTGTGGATGATGTGGATGTTGCAGGTTGGAGATTTGTGTGCGTACCAGATTTAGCCGACTCAATAGGTAAAGTACTAATAAACCATTCCTCCTTGATCATAAAGGTCTTGGACTGCTTCTCTTTGTCTATTATCTTAGTGTTGTTGTACTCTCTCATGGCTTTAAATACTTTCTATACACTAATATCTCCAAGTTAATTCCTCTAGTCTGGATCTCTACTCTGAACTCTAGGGACAGACAGGCAACTGACCCTCTCAGCATCTCCTCTCTAATGTCTAAATGACATCTCCAATTACATGTCCCACCCAGGATTCTTGATTTTCCTTCACCACACACAAACCTGCTCCACATGTGATTTTTTTTTTCCACCTTAGCTAATGGTGATGCCATTAGCTTCCAGTTTCTCATGTAAAAAATATCTTGCAGTCATCTTGATCCTTCTTACTCATGTCCAATCTATCATCAAATCCCATTGGCTCAATCTTGAAAATATATCCAAGAATCCAGAATTCACTCACTGCTCCTCACCTTCGCAGCTGCCCCCTTTATCCAATCACTATCATTTCTCACTTGTCATTATTGTAACTGCCTGTTCACAGGTCTTCCTGCAGCCATCTTACTCCATACAGGCTATTTGCAGCATAGTAAGAGAGTTTCTTTGATAAATGTAAGTCAGATCATATCGCTCTTCTGCCCAAAACTTCCAAAAGATTCACATCTCAGAGAAAAATCTAAGGTCCTCACACTGACTTGTAAAGTCCGATAAGACCTGGTCCTGTTTACCTTTCTGATCTCAGAATTGTAGGAAGTTCTCCCCTCTTTACTCTGCTCCTGCAACACTGACAGTTCTCTGTTCATGGAATTGCCAGGTGTGCCCTACATCAAGCCCGCAGCGTTTCTGATTCACTGCATAAAGTATACTTTGTTCAGTTAACCATATGGCTTGCACATCCGCCTTCTGCTGGTGTTTGCTTAAATGCTGTCTCATCAATGAAGACTTGCTTATCCAACCTATTTCAAATCTCTACACTTCATACTCCTTTCCCAGTTTTACTTTTTCATAAGTCTTATTAATTTCATAAGATTGGGAAATTTACTTGTTCATTTTTATTTTGTCTTTCTCCTAACTCTATTATAAGGTTTATAAGGGCAGAACTTTTTATTTGTTCCATTGCCATTAGCTAGAACACCAAATAGCATGTACATAAATATTTATTGAGTGGGTAAACAAATAACTAGAGACTGAAAGAACACTGAAAAGTATTCTGATTCACCATTTTTGAATTTTTTTTGGCCACCGTGACAGAACATATTTCATTTAAATGAGTATAATTCTTTAAGAATCTCCAAGAAAAGTTAATCCAGAAGCACTGAAACACGTTTTGAAATCCATTTGCTATGGGCCATACATATCTCTGAATCCTGAAAAGCATATTTGCCTGTGCATAGTATGGCTATGCACTCAGTAAATAGCTTAATAAAAGCTTAAAATGTACAAATTAATAAATATTGTTGTAAACTTAATCATTAACTTTCCCTTACAGTAAATCAATTTTCCTAATTTATGAAATCTCTGTTAATATAATATCTAAGTTGAACCTCTTGAAGTTCTGTAAACCAATTTTGGGAAACCATTTCTTCTTCTTCTCCCTAAAATAAGAATTCAAGTACTATCAATTTGTTTACAAAATTGTTTTTTAAAAAAATTTCTAAGTTGCAGCAGCTCCAATAAAGAATACAGTAGAGCATGGTGCTGCATGCCTATAGTTCCAGCTACTCCGACCAAAGTGGGAGAATCCATTGAGCTCAGGAGTTTGAAACCAGCTTGAGCAAGATAGCAACTCTTGTCTCAAAAAAAGAAAAACAAAGGGAAGAAAAGATGAAAGGAGGAAGAAGGAAAGAGAGAAAGAAAAAAAGAAGAAAGAAAAAGAAAGAAAGAGAGAAAGAAAGAAAAGAAAAGGAAAGAAAGAGAGAGAGGAAGGGAGGGATGGAGAAAAGAGAGAGAGAAGAGGAGAGGAGGGGAGGAAAGAGGATGGGAGGAGGGGAAGGTCTAGGGCAAGATGACCTATAAAGAACAGCTCCGTCTGCAGCTCCCAGCTAGACCAACGCAGAAGGTGGGTGATTTCTGCATGTCCAACTGAGGTACCTGGCTCATCTCATTGGGACTGGTTAGACAGTGGGTCCAGCCCACGGAAGGCGAGCAGAAGCAGGGTGGGCGTTGCCTCACCCTGGAAGCGCAAGTGGTCAGGGAACTCCCTCCCCTCGCTGAGGGAAGCCATGAGGGACTGTGCCACTAGGGACGGTGCACTCCAGCCCAGATACTATGCTTTTCCCATGATTTTCACTACCTGCAGACCAGGAGATTCCCCTGGGTGCCTACACCACCAGGGCCCCAGGTTTCAAGAACAAACTGGGTGGCCGTATGGGCAGGCACCAAGCTAGCTGTAGGAGTTTTCTTGTGTACCCCAGTGGTGCCTAGAACACCAAGCGACAGAATCGTTCTGCTCCTGGAAAGGGGGTTGAAGCCAGAGAGTCAAGTGGTCTTGCTCAGCAGATCCCACCCCCATGGAGCCCAGCAAGCTAAGATCCACTGGCTTGAAATTCTCACTGCCAGCACAGGAGTCTGGAGTTGACCTGGGACACCTGAGCTTGCTGTGAGGAGGGGCGTTCGCCTATTACTGAGGCTTGGAAAACCACCGTGAGGTTTTCACTCCACAGTATAAACAAAGCCACTGGGAAGTCTAAACTAGGGGGAACCCACCTCAGTGCCACAAAGCCACTGTAGCCAGACTGCCTCTCTAGATTCCTCCTGGCTGAGCAGGGCCCCTGTGAAAGAAAGGCAGCAGCCCCAGTAAGATAAAACTCACTTACAGATAAAACTCACATCTCCTTAGGACAGAGTACCTGGGGGAAGGGGCAGCTTTGGGCACAGATTCAGCAGACTTAAATGTTCCTGCCTCTTGGCAGGAAGATCTCCCAGCACAGTGTTCAAGCTCTGCGAAGGGACAGACTGCCTCCTAAAGTGGGTCCCTGACTCCTGTGCCTTCTGACTGAGAGACATCTCCCAGCAAGGGTCAACAGACACCTCATACAAAAGAGCTCTGGCTGGTGTCTAGCTGGTGCCCCTCTGGGACAAAACTTCCAGAGGAAGGAGCGGGCAGCAATCTTTGCTGTTCTGCAGCCTCTGCTGGTGATAGCCTGGCAAGCAGGGTCTAGGGTGAACGTCCAGCAAACTCCAGCAAACCTGCAGAAGAAGGGCCTGACTGTTAGAAGGAAATAACATTAACATCAACAAAAACCCCCATTCAAAGGTCATCAGCATCAATGAACAAAGGCAGATAAATCCATGAAGATGAGGAAAAACCAGCATAAAAATGCTGAAAATTCCAAAAGATCAAAACTCCTCCCCAGCAAAGGAACAAAACTGGATGGAGAATGAGTTTGACGAATTGACAGAGTAGGCTTCAGAAGGTGGGTAATAGCAAACCTCTCTAAGCTACAGGAGCATGTTCTAACCCAGTGCAAGGAAGCTAAGAACCTTGATAAAAGGTTACAGGAACTGCTAACTAGAATAATGAGTTTAGAGAAGAAAATAAATGATCTAATGGAGTTGAAAAATATAGCATGAGAACTTCACAAAGCATACATGTGTATCAATAACCAAATAACAAACCCGCAAACCCCTCCCCCCAAAAAAGAGTAAGGATTGGAAGGTACAAGCCAGCAGGAACATTTCAACAAATAGAGGCTTCCTATAATGGGATGTACCTAAGATGGAATACAATAAGTCTTCCTCATGGAAAGGTACATGGGAAAACTGTCTAACTGCCTATGAGGAGTGTGTTGAAAAGGAGGGGTTTGTGGTTGGACCAAATAACTTCTGAAAGTTTCTCCCCTCAAAGTTTAAGAATTAGAATTAGTTTAATGACATCTGTTTTCCAGCAAGGACTAAAATATTTATTTCAAACTGTTTCCAATTTTTTTCTAAATTTATATTATGCATATTAATTACTTTCTTCAATCTCTATCACTATCTTCCCTGAATAAAATAAACTGAAAATGTTATTTTAGTGTCTAGGCTGTCCCCTTTTGTCTTTCATGTCCAACACTGAATTACTTTTGTCCTCCCATATGTACTCTAAACTTTGTAATTTTGCGCTCAGCTCAGAGACAATAGATTCAATATGGTAATTTTACACAGTTTATACAAAATATATAAATAAATATTGTGCAAATTTTCCCGAGAATTTCTCAAGGACAGAACAAGACTCATGTTTAAAATTTCTCTACCAGAATTAAATAATTTCTCTTTTAAAAGATTCAAATAAAAGCTATTATTCAGAACAAAGTACCTAGAACCAAATGCAGGTTTTTGTGAAAGAAGGATGAATAACTTCTTGTTTTGGAAAAGGAATACTTTCTATACAGCGTCCAATAAATTATTGGGTTTTGTTAGTTGTGTCTAATTAGGAACCCTTAATTCCCTTTTAACAGTTGGATTTCATAGCATTTTATGTCCAGCTACATTAAGAATTAATTTTTTGGCTTGGTATCAATGCTAAATTTGCTTATCCAAACAGAAGTCATGCCAAGAGCTTGAAGAATGATGACGGTAATTAACCCAAATCATATACCAGGAGCTATTCCAGTGAAAGTGTCTGTTAGTGTATCTTTCTCTGATGCTAAAGCTGATCCTACAAAGGACATGCACTGCAACCTCCCACAGAATGTTTCTGGATACTAGTGCCCGAGACAGGAAGGGAAGAACTACCAGGTTGATCAAATAAGGCATTTCTTATTCTGAAAAGTAAAATAGAAACTATAGAGACATGGGGGTTTCTCATCATCTGTTGAGAGGTGTGTACATCAGTTCAGTATTTCTAGAGGTCAGTTGGATAGTAGACTTGCAATTGATCATATTGCACGTTATTGTGTATGGTAATTTAGTACAAGAGACAATAAAAGATGTATGAAAAGAATGATCATTATAGGAATAAAGTAGGAAAAAAATCTACAACCAGTGTAAGTATTGACTTTGTTAAATAAATCATATCATGGCTAAATGATAAAATATTACGTTATATTATAAAAGATAACAGTGCTATTGAAGAATATATTTTTTACATATTGAGTTACAAAGAATACATTTAATTTTCTCTCAAAAACATGGACTGGTTATAGAACAACATTATCAATATTATTAATGCTGACAATCATTGATAATCATAATATAAATTTATATTATAATATATTAATATAAGATGAGAGCAACATTAATGTAAGATATGACCTATTACATTATATAATATAACATAAGAACAACATTAAGAATATTATCATGCCACACATAAATAGAGACAAGAAGACAGAAATGTTCACAAGTGTGTTAGCACAGATTGTCTCTTAAAATGTAGAATTGTAAATCTTTTCTTCTTTTTTCTTCTCCCTCTTTTATCCTTTTCCCCCTCCTTCTCCTCCTCCTCCTTTTTCCTCACTTTTCTTCTTGCTGTTTGTCATTTTCTAAATCTTTATCCAATAATAATGTTCCAGAAATATTTAGAAGATGAAATTGACAAATACTTGGTGAATAGATGGAAATATACCATGATCAAGACAGAGGAAGTGTCGTGGCTCTTTGCAAAGCCAGAGAGAACATTAGAGGAGATAGGCAAATAACTGATTCAGTTAAAGTTGTGTATAACAGAAACAAGCAAAGAAATAAATCAAATGTCAAGAAACCATTTGACATGTGGATCTGGAGCTCAGGGAAAAGCTAGGGACTGGAGATACCAATTTGAAAGTCATCTACAAAGAAGCAGTTACTGAAACTATGGGAGTGAATGGGGTTGCTTAGGAAAGTGTAAAGCATACAAAGGAAATAATTCCTAGAACTGAGCCCAAGGAAACATAAACATTGAAGGGAAGACAGAGAAATGAACTTAAAGGGAAACTAATGGAGGGCCAAAAAGGTGGAAAGAAATATGAAAGTACAGTGGTGAAAGGAAGTGAACGAGGAGCCCGTTAAATAAGTGAGTGATCAACAATATTAAATGTGATGAAGAGTTTAAGTGAAATAACTTTCAAAGTGTCTAATAGACACAGTAATAGTTTACTAGCATTCTTGAAAACAGTTTCAATCAGGTGCAAAAAAGCTTAAGGTGGTCTGACAGAAAAAATTTGGCTACAAAAAGACAGCAAAAAGTAGGATGGTAACTGAATAAGGATTATAACAATTGTTGTTATTGTTGTTTCACGATGGTTTTAAAATGAGAAGAATATGTTCTCTGTCAGCTGATGAGAAGGAGTCAGTAGAGAGGAAGAAGGTGAAGATTAGAAAAGAGAACAGTTTAGTGTTTTTCAGACTTGTCTGAAGATAAAATCTCTTTCTATTATTTGTTTAAAAGATAGATTTCTAGAGGAGAAATCTTATAATCTGTATTTTTAAATATCTGTGTTTGTTACAGGAGAAAATTGGGAAAGGCTGGGTGGATGAAGGTAAAGGTAAAGGTTTGGTGATTGACTTCCTTGTCTGCTCCTGTTTTCTCCATGAAGTGGGATGTCAGTTCCCTTCTGAGAGTCATGCAAGGATTTCTAGGCACTATTAAGAACCCAGGTAGAAACAAGATATTAACTTATGGTAGAACCAGTTTTCAGGGCTGCATGATTTTTTGAAGCAATGTCCCACAGAAGTAGATGTGATCAAGACTGACATGTGAGTTCTAAGAGACAGATTAGAACTCACCTTTTCTTCATGGAAGAAAAGCAGGGAATGGAGGTTCAAAAATATTACCAAAGTTTGCATGAAATGATCATGGAGAATGCAGGGAAAAGAGAGAGAAGGTAGGTTTGCTTGGGACTAAACAATACCCCAGAATGTTGGATAGCCAATGCTAAACCAGGTAAATCCCAGGTAAAGCAGAATCATTGATTATCCAAGAGGGTAAAGATGATAGAAGACTAGATTTCTGAATCTAAGTAAAATAAAAACCAAATGTAGTGAGAATAAATGAATTTAAAACATATAAATGGAAGAGGTTGTGATCAGAGATCGAAATACTTAGAGTTGGGTTTTCAGAGATGTGTTAGTACTGAGTAATAAGATTCATGGTTTAAGGTCATGAAAGTTGATAGCCAAAGTGAAATGCACATGCAGGACCCTGAATGTATGAAGGTCATGAAGCTGGAAAGAGATCGAGTTTAATACAGTTTTTCATGTAAGCTATGACATTACCCAGGATGGTGGCAGAACAAAATGGGAAGAGTAACCCTGATGTTAGTTCATCTTCGGAGATACCAAGAAGTGAGTAGATGCTAGTCTAGGCCACCATGAGAAGGGATAGAGTATGGTACAGTCAGATGACATTAGTTTAAATGCTCTAAAGACTTGCTTCAAGATTAAGGAATAATTATTTAGAAGAAGCAGTGAAAAATAGGCAATGTGCCAGTGTCCTAAATTATGTGGGATATGGTAGAATGAACAGTCTCCCCCTGTTAAGACAAAAAAGGTGCAAAGTTATTAACAGGTAAATCCATGTTGCTGTTAAGGTAAGGAAGTAGAGGAAGATGCAACAAAATGATTAAGGATGTGTAATTTTTTAATGTTAGTTTCATCCAAAACCTAAAAAGCAAATGTGTCTTGCTTTATCAGGTCCTCATTGGATCAAGGAAAACAGCTCTCAATGAAGAAAGAAAAGATTGCTGTTGGTAGGGTAAGCCCCAGAAGAACTAATGTTATTTGCTATTAACCACCTAAACATAAAAGTTTACCTTGCATTATTGATAAATACTATATATTTATCATTTAATTTGAGGAGAATTGGCATATAATAATTTGAGGAAATTAAATGAAATGGAATTGTTGGTGTTTAGTTATGATTACATGTTATTTAGTTATGTATATATTCTTTTTTACTACTGATAGAAACCAACATTAATTGAGCTTTTAAGTGATCAGTACTGTGCTTGACACTACATATACTTGTAAGTTGACTGTTTGTTTGGTTTTTTATTTTTTCACAACATCTTTATTTGTTTTTATTTTTCTAATTGACATTCTTTTTTTGGAGTCAGGGTCTCACTCTGTTACCTAGGCTGGAGACTGCAGTGGTGTGATCAGAGCTCACTGTAGCCTCAAACTTCCAGGCCCAAGCTATCCTTCCCACTTCAGTCTCCTGAGTAGCTGTGGCTACAGGCACAGCACACGCTATCAAGACTCGCTGATTTTTTCTTTAATTTTGTAGAGACAGTGTTTCCCTATGTTATGCTAATTTACAGAAGACTCATTTGAGGATTACAGGTATTAGTGACTTGACCAAGATCACAAAGCTTAGGAAGTATCAGAATAGGGTTTAAATCGAGGTGGGACTTTAAAGCACATCTTTGAAATCCTATGTAATACTATGTACTTAATTGATGCTAATCGAAATTGACAGTTATGAAACTTTTTCAGAAATGCCATGTCATGTTCTGGTTTCTCTTGGTAATCTAACTTTATATCAATTTTGCCTTTAGGTGAAGTTCTCAATCATCTTGCAATACCTCCAAGCCTTTGGCTGGCTCTGGGTGTGGCTGACTATGTTTACTTACTTAGGGCAGAATTTGTTGAGTGTCGGACAGAATCTATGGCTTAGTGCCTGGGCAAAAGAAGCAAAATACACGACTATGAATGAGTTCACAGAATGGAAGCAAATAAGAAGCAATAAACTTAATGTTTATGGATTATTGGGATTAATAAAAGGTAAAAAAAAATGTATATCTGCTTTTCTTTTCTTTTTTCTGACCTAATTGATTCAAACACGACAAAATCAAATTTGATTTTATCTCAAATAAAATCTGGGCTATAATTATTGAATATTTGGGGATGACTCAAAAGAATATGTTTTCAATTTACCATATTCAAGAGAATAAACCAAAACTTATAGGTGTCATCTACATGGCTAATATTAAATATTAGACATAGGTATTTAATCTTGAAAGTAATTATTTAGAATGTGCTATTGTCCTCATTTTACAGCTGAGGAAACTGAGGCTTTTATGTAAAGTCATGAAAGATTCAAAAATAGCCACTCTCTGTATATATGAAGGTTGTTAGTGATGTGAGGATAGAGAGCTGAGTCTGTTAAGGGGTGTACAGCTTAGTAATCCTAGGTCAGGTTTACAATCAAACCAAATGGTCAGCATTAAGCACTCTACAGGTAGTGAAAGAAAACGCTGTGAGAATTTAGAGCAATGGGAGGCCGTACTGGGTTGACATATTAATGTGATTTCTAAGGAGTACTTGGCAAATGTGATTTCTAAGGAGTACTTGGCAATTGAGGGGACACTTAAAGGATGAAGAGAAGTTTATCAGCTTGAGATCACAAAGAAGAAAAGAAAGTCATATAGGTAGATAGAAAGATGTGAGTAAAGACAGGGATGGGGAGGTAAGGAGGGCTTTTAGTAAGAGAGAGGGTGCCAGTTTGAGTGATCTTCAGGTTATTGGTAGGGAAAAGTAGGGGAGCTAAGGGTGAGAAGGAAGATTGGAGATTTGTCAGAGATAATCAGTTGGAAGGCAGGTGGAGAATTTTGGAAAATTGATGAAGGAAGTGACATAGTTGAATTTGTATTTCAAAGAATAAATTAGTAGTGATAATAAAAAGATGGGTTTTTCTTGGAGGTAGGAAAGTCAGAGAGACTAAGAGGAAGCAGGGTTTGGTAGGAAAAGAATAATCAAGTGTATTTGGGAGTCCAGATGAAAGGTAGTCTAGTAGAGCAAGATCTCTTATCTGATCCATGACTGTGTCACCTAAAATAACCAATAGGTAAGAAGCAGAAAAGAACTGAATAATTACCTGATGAACCAATGAATGAATGAATGAATGAATGGTCAGACAGCAACCGTGGGGTTGGATAAAAGGGATGATTAAGAAAGACATTACAATGAAAAACTTAAGATTTGTCAGTCTGAGGGTGAATAAGATGGTATTCATTAGTCAATCATGCTTTCGAGGTTTAGACTGGGTAACTGGGAGAGTAATGATGACAAAAATAGGGAAACCAGGCAGAGCCTTAATTAGTGGAGGAGAGAAATGGTGAGTTCATTGTTGGACACATTTAATGGGAAGTGTTGATGAATTTTTCTCCCGTAGGCAAACTAAAAATGCATATCTGTAAGTTTGGAAAGTAGGTTTCTTTATTTGTAAAAAGGGGAACTTAAACTAGATAATTTCTGCATATCTGCCAAATTCTAACATTCTAAAGCTCTTAGTTCTACTTAGGCTTGGAATTATCCTATAGAGATAATAAATGAACCCATAGGAGTAGACAGGATCACCATGAATGAGGAATAAGGGCCATGAGGGTGAATGACAGATTCTTAAGGAATGTCCATAGAGAGCTGATTAGTGGACTAACTTCACAGAAGTTGAACAGAGATAAGTTCCTGATTAGATGATCAGAGGGAGAGAAGGAGATAGAACAACAGCCACAATGATGTGAATACTTGCTCCATGTCTGGAAATCGAGGCATGTTTTTGTTGTTGAAGTTGAAACAAATGAAAACGCCTGTATTGGACTTTTTCTGAACCACAAAAATGGCAAATTCATATGGCTTAAGCTAACACAGTAGTTTCTTTAGCATGTATCGTAATAAGGGAGCCCTTACACTCTTTACTTAAACTTTGTTACTTAAAGTTTCAGTTTCATCACTTGTACAGTATAGATATTGTTTCATTGGTTACATCAGATATGTGTAGTACATAGGCAAGAGTGTAATAAATATTAGCTATTATTTAACAATAGAAAATATAAGTAATTATGACAAAGCCCTATGACTGGTAAGTTTTGGAGCCAGCTTTGAATCCATGTCCAGCTTACTCCCAAGCCAATGTTCTTAAAATCTAAATTAGCATTAGTATTACATGGACAGTAGTGAGATACTCTACAAACATCAGCTTCTATTTCAATAAGTTTGGGAAATTGAGAACTCTGTTCTTCCATGAATCTGATTTTTTTTTCTTTCCTTTAGTAGAGGTTTTGAGATATTCTACAATAAAATGACCTGTTTAATTGTGTTTAACACAATATTCCTCAAATTTATTTGACCATGATTTTTTTTCCTTGTGCTACTACTCATTAATATCTTGGAGCAACTTGCGTTCCACAGAATATACTTTGAGAAATTCCAAAGTATGATGATTGTCTTCCAAGAACCAGAAAAGTATGATGAAACAAAAGCAAAGAAAAATAAGTGTTTTAAGTAAATTCTCAATGGTTCTGAAATGTTACATATCTATTAAAAACAAAGAAAATTAAGAAATGATTCCTTATTATAGTCAAGGAAACATAATCGAGAGATAAATGGAAAAAGAATATAGATTGTAGGTAATTAAATAATTGTTTGGAATATTCAAAAGTATTGAATAGTCTTTTAAATAAAACTAATTTTTTTTAGAGATAATTTCTTGTGTTTGTATCAAGAGAAACAGGCAACTAGAGAGAGACTGGTGGGAATTCACATAAGAAAATAACAGAGACATCTAGGTGGAAGTTGTTAGATCTTCATGTCCATATCCAGATGGGCAAACAGAGAGAGATGCATGCTTTTGGTAATGGAAAAGTAAGATAAAACAAATACTATGAAACTTAGACCCTTGCTTCTCTTTTTTTCCTCTCTTATTTTATTTTTATTGTCTGGCCATAGTACTGCTTAAAACTGTCTCCATTCAAAAATAAGCAGAGCTTGTGAGACAGATTTATGTGTGTTCTGCCATTTTGTTAACACTCCCTGGGAAAAGAGATGTTAATGAAAATGAGTTATGAGAATTACCTATAGTATGAAAGAACAGGATCTTACAGTTTCTTTGCTTTTGAATCAGTAAGAGTCAGATTTATTGACTTGCAGTTTGCAGCTCAGTGAGGATGATAGAGATGTAGACGTTTCGGATTACACCAAGAGAAACATCCATATATACACGAATCTCTCTATCTCTGTATGTCACACATACATGTGAAGGCTAACCTCAAACGAATTCAGTGAATTTATGTTACAAATTTAGAGTAGATTTAATAACCTTAGAAGAACATTTATGTGAGTAAATATCATTTCTATAATATATAAGGTATGCAGTTTTAGTGTCTGTAATATTATGTAAAATCTTAATTTTAATTAACTTACAATATTACATTTCAGTAAATATAGGAAGGATTTCATAACTTAAGCAACAGATTATGAACAGTTTTATCACAAAGACTTTTTTCCTGATTGGCTTTTGTTTAGAGTGGTCTGCAGTTGTTAGAATATATCTTCTCTTATTTATTGCTTCCTCATTTTTTTTACATTTAAACAATTTTTAATTTTTAAGGCTCATTAAGTGCAATTGCAGAATACATTTCCATAAGTAAGGAGAGCCTGAAAAATAAAAGTCTATAATTTCTGATTTTTTTCAGCAGACCTCAGCTGTGTCTTATGGAACCTGCTTTAATCAAGAGCAGTCTGTATTCATGGCTCAGTTTTTTCCCTTTCCATTTATTTATTTAGAACTTTAAAGCATAAACAGCACTTTCACATGTTAATACCACTGTGTGGTATTAACATAGAGGACCACTATGAATAATATAGAAGGCTGGCATTCAAACAAAACTGGAGTACTGAAGCTGAAAATGCTACGTCCATAATTTATGACAATAATAAAGGTCTTACCTCATTTTTTAAAGAAAGAAATTGCCCTGAACATTTTTTTCCCTCAGTCTCAGCTTTTTGGTTTTGAATTTCTAGGATACTTGGCACATCTCTAATGTATTGTGTTTTATGTGTCACTCTTGGGAACTTCCTTTCTCTAATCCAATGTGTAAAATATAGGCTCCTTATTTTCAAAGTGTAGTGATTAAGGAGCACACTGCTGCTTCCAGTTTAAGAGGGCTAAGTGGTTCATTTACTTTACTTACCTCACTAAATTTCACTGAAATGACAGTGAATAAATATAAGAGGAAAGGTGTCAGGAAATTTCAGAGTAATATATTTCCACATACGGGATTATACTGATAGAAAATGAAGGGTAGAAGAAAACTTGTAGCTGGGAACAGATACTGGAGATGCTGGAACAGAAGAGGGAGATGTTCAGTTGAGCCATGGAAAAACGCTAAACTTATGTTCACAGGTACAGAGAGAAGAACTGGGTTTCACGGAAGTAATGAAAGTAGTTCATTAGAACATTGCTCTGATGGCCCATCAGCCTCTTTTAGAACAACACTGCCACCACCCCCAGTGTATACAGCCACTGTGACAGTAACAGCACAATGAAAAGGAGAAAGCTGCTGTTTAAAGAGGAAATGAGGCTTTCTAACATATGTGATATACATAGAAGAAAACTTCCTTATTGTGGCTTTCGGGGTCATACCTTCCCACTTACACAGAACTTGAAGCAAACTCTTCTAGTCAGGGGAGAGAAGTGTTGGCAGAAGAAAGCCACATCAGGTACCTATATTAATTAACCATTTCATCGTCTCATATTTTTAAACTGATAATGCCTATCCAGGGCATACATTTCACTCAAACCAACAGCATAAATAAAAGTCAACAAATGCAGAAGTCAGGTCCAGAACTAAAACCATAATATCTGGAATACAATAAGACCTTCAAAAGGTCTAATTAGTGTTTTCAGAGATTCAAAATACTGCGTATATAAAGTTAGTATAGAATATGCTAAAATAAGTCCAGTCTGAGAACAAGAAAGTTCTTGGAAACATTTAAATAATTTTAAAAGGTTGTATAAATGTAAGATAAATTAGAATTATCCCAAATGTACAACATCATAAACAGAGATGGAAAATGATAGATAAGAAAAAATTAGAGGAACAGTTCAAGAAGTTTAACATGTTTATAAAAAGAGCTTCAGTAAATGGGGAAAAATACTAAGTATCTAATATTTAAAGAAAAAATACTTCCCGTGCTAAAGAATAGAAATGCCTATTCCAGTAACCATTCTAGTTTACAGCAGAAAGATGGAGAGTCCCAAGGGGGTAGTTTGTGTTGCAGAGGACAGGGGCTAAATGAGATTAAAGAAACAGTAGGATATTTGATGAGTTTAAGTGTATTCAGAAGAGACTTTGGCTATTGAAGTGTTTGGGAATAAATTAGTCCTAGTTACACAGAAAACTAAGCATATAAAAAAATAATGACACAAGCTACAGATTTGGTGACCTTCACAAGCAATATATGTTTATTGAATATTTGAGAAGAAAACAGGTAATATATTGGAAGTGGAATAGGGAAGTATGGGAGAAATGGAGGAAAATATTAGAAAACACTTAAGACTGAGAAAGCTAATAGCCATATGAGATATTATTTTAAAATATAAAGAAATTAGCTAATAGAATGTAAGGTGGTGAGGGGCAACTAGTTTTGTGTTGTTTTGTTTTAATCATGATACTTGCAAAGGAACAAGGATCATATTGGCAACATACTTTTATAAGCGGTTTTTTATGTTAGAGTGCAATGGAGCAGTTGTGTATCTGTTACTCAAGAGCAAACTGGCTTAAGTAACATGGAAGTGTATTGACACCCAAAGGTAAAATGCCCAGGCATAGATCTTTAACCACACTTGATCCAAAGGTTCACATGAAGTGTTCACAACTCTCTTCATTTTGCAGATCTACTTATTTGTTGTTAGTAGGTTTTGTTCCCAGCCTTCACATAATGATGGAAATGTATCTTTCACAGAACTTCCTTATGTTTCTATTTGTGCTAATAACTGTTTTTCAACTTATTCCACTAAAGCTATAAGTTTATCTGATAAGTAATTAATACAAGAACAATCTTCCCACCAACCACATCTCAGTAGCTTAACATACCAAAAGAATTATATCCCTCACCCATTTTATGTGTACACTGTGGGTCGGGAAAGGAACTCTGCTTATCCTAGGTCTCTAGCTGAAGGAAGGAGCCAAGCACCGTTTTAAATGTTGGCAGGCACTGTGCTAAGGTAATAGGACTGACACCAGCAATTAAATATTCTAACTCAGAAGTGTCATATATCGTTTCTCTCATAACTCATGAGTCAAGACTGTTTATTTGGGTCTATCAACCAAAAGGGGGCCAGAAAATTCAACCTTACTACGTACCAAGAAGCTAGGGGAAGGAAGCTATTTGGCTAAAAGCACTAGTAACTAACATATTGTCCCATGGAACATCATAAAAGTAATAGGTTGCTAAAATTCCATGAATTAGATCGACCTTTTATCTTCTGTGTGGAACCTATGACCACAAATGGAGAGCATTCTGCTGTAGCAGCATAACAAACCAGCAGAATTGTGTATCTATTTCAGATACATCATGTATTATATTAATATTTATTTTAGTCCACAATAACACATTTTAGGTATAATATTTGGATTTTAAGTTAAAATAAATATCAATATTTTTATAATTAATCATTTTACAGCAATCTTTTAAAAGTTAAAACACAAATTTCTTTATATTGTTAATATAACTGTAATAACAATGTGTGTTTAGGTCTCTTTGTCTGCTCTGGAGCATATGTAATCACCAGAGGATCCCTGAGTGCCTCTCGAACCTTGTATGTTCAACTGTTGAATAATGTGCTACATCTCCCCATCCAGTTTTTTGAAACAAATTCCACAGGCCAGATCATCAGTCGTTTCACCAAGGTAAGGAAAAGACACACCTTATTAAATAGCATACATAAAAGTGACCCATAGTTAGTACCTTATATTCTCACCTGTATAAAAGTATCATGTGTTTTATACAGATGTCACTGTTAAATACATTTCTAAGCCTTAGGATGCATATAACTGATGTACAACAGAGTCACATTTTATACATATAATTAAAATGACACTTGAAAAATTACTTAAAAGATTCCAAGAAACACATGTGTTTTGATATCTGCAACTCTAATTCTTACATACATCGAGTTGTTTGAGAATCACTGCCTTAGGCTAAGAAGGGAAAGAAAATGTAAGTCAATATGCAGATAATGTAAGTCAATATGCAGATATCTAGACTTTGAAAACATTCTGCCTTTAAGAAAACACAACATCTCTTATGGTGAATGGGGAATGAGTGAAGATTTTCAGAGTGTCTCTGCTTACCTGTAGGAGTTTTCTCATTATGTTTTATAGAACTGCTATAAAGTGTTTCTAATACAACTGTCCTATAAAGATAAAATGCAAGCCATGAATGTGATTTTAAATTTCCTGGTAGCCATAATAAAGAAGTAAAATAAAATACTGTCGAAAGAATTAATTATGATAATACATTTTATTTAACAAAGTATATCCAAAACATTATTCCAAACTGTACTTAATATAAAATTATTAATCAATCTTTATATTTTTTGTACAAAGTCTTTTAAAGCTGGTTTTTATTATGTGCTTGTAGCATATCTCAACTTGCAATAGCTACACTCCAAGTGTTCAATAGTCACATATTGCTAATGGTCCTTATATTAAAGTGTGCAGGTTCATAACTTCAAAGTGTGTTAACACATTTCTATGTATATGTAGAAACATGGTGGATGTACAAAGAGAAGTGAAGATAAAACACAAAAACATAAATAAAAGTACCTAACATAATAAATTACTAATGGAATATTAAATCTTGCTTTATCGTACCAAGGTACATGTGGTTTCATGAAAACTTATAGAAGAGTTTGATCACCAGCATTCTTTCTCTCCCAGAGGATGTTTCTGACCAGAACCCTACTGATCAATTCTCATTTTTATACAGTAAAATTTCAAATGATTGAGCCTTATGCAGATGGGAGTATGGGCAGTTAAATTCTAAATAGGAAATTGCATGTGAATATGATACTGTTATACTATTTGGTATATGAGATAACAGGGGAACTCCCAGATGAAAGTAGAATTAACAAAATTTCATCTCGGCTTTTTGTGTCAATTTTGTCCTGAACTGAATAGTTTACCCATTCAAGGTTCAGTGTCTCAGTATTCCCTGGCATCTCTCAGGTCATACCTTGTGCCACAAACAGATTAAGTTCTATGCAACAAAGTGTGAAACAGGCAGGGCGTGGTGGCTCATGCCTCTAATTCCAAACTTTGGGAGGCAGAGACAGGAAGACCACCTGAGGTCAGGAGTTTGAGACAGCCTGACCAACATAACGAAACCCTGTCTCTACTAAAAATACAAAAACTAGTTGGGCATGGTGGCTAATGCCTGTAATCCTGAGTACTCAGGAGGCTGAGGCAAGAGCATTGCTTGGACCTGGGAGGCAGAGGCTTGCAGTGAGCCGAGATCTCACCATTGCACTTCAGCCTGGATGACACAGCAAAACCCCCTCTCAAATAAATAAATAAATTAAAAAATGTGTAAATCAATGCATGACCTTCCCATTGTCCTTCTCTCATTCCTATTGGCCCCTCCATCTTTCAGTTCATAATTTAGTAAATGAAGATTATTTTGTTTTTCTGTCTCTCTTGATAAGAGTAGGATTCAGTTACCCAGGAAGGCCACTGGACACATTCTTAGCTGATAACAATGCTCCAGCAGTGACTTACAAATTTTGACTCACAAATAGTGGTAGCGCAATGCCCCAAATACTGGAATTAAGAAAACTAGCTATTTAATCATGGGTTTTTTTTTTGGTATGTTTGTTCATTTTTTCTTTTTTGATCAAAGTCTGGCTTTAGTTGTATAATTAATTGCCATATAGTTGTCATTGGGAAATGCAAATTGCTTGATCGTAGGTGTCTTGAAATTAGAACAGCCTTTTAATTGTTATAGTTGACTAAAGGGGAAAAATATATGGAGATGAGCAAAGATCATGTAGTTAGATTTATTTATGTAATTATTAGATTGTCATACCTGGGTAAACATTTTTAATTTTGCCATTGAATAATATATTTCTTCTTTCTCTCATTCTAAACTGTAAAAAGTTAAAAATAAAGTAACCTAATATCAAATTTTTCAGGACATATTTATACTTGATATGCGTTTGCATTACTATTTACGGCTGTGGTTGAATTGTACATTGGATGTTATTGGAACAATTTTGGTCATTGTGGGAGCTTTGCCCCTCTTCATTCTGGGTATTATTCCCGTAGTGTTCTTCTATTTCTCTATACAAGTAAGTGCATACGTTTCTATTTGTATTAATAACTTGTAAGTTCACAGTCAAATACAGTTTCAGACCCACTTAAGCCCCCTCTTCGTCCAAGTTCTGTAAGAAGCAGAGTCCAAGAAAGGAATAGATGTACGGGAGATATGCTGGGGGAAACGCTTGTAAAAGATAAAGGAAAGGGAGCAAAGGAAGGCTGGGCTGAGCAAGCCCTCGGACAGCCATTCAGGCTGAATCCCTGTGAGGGAGAAAAAGAAAGAAGAAGGATTAGCACTGGGTAACAAGGGTCTTGGACTACAGGACAATTCCATAACAGGTTCAACAGGAAGCTGTCAATCGCTGTTGCCCGTTAGAGGGTCCCATGTGCACTTCCTGCCAGTACTCAGTCATTGGCTGGCCTCTACGCGACTACAGGAGTGGATCCATCAGTGCAGTCGCTGGAGCTGTCAGTCAGCCATGCTCCCTACAGCAGGAGAGGTGGAGACTGCATTTTTATTCCCACCACAAAACCTGTATGTTGTTCACATTTTAGCAGAAACTTAAAATCCCTGCATATCCAAGAGGGAAACAGATACTGCCTTTTCGTTCTGTTTTTCCAGACATCACCTGTTTCTTCCAGACAAACAATTGCTGGAAGAGCTGAATATGTCTCTCATGATACTTACATGATATCTTCATATTAAAGTGTGATCATCCAGTTTAAACTGCAAAATTATGTCGCTGTAAGGCTTCGGTGGAAATCAAACTTTTTAGCATATATATTTTTTTCTTCAGCAGTCAAACAAAGCAATTTTATTAAATAATGAAAAGAAAAAATTAAAATGAACATCTTTATTATCTTTATTATTTTACAAGAAGCCATGACAGCTTTTGGTTTAAAAAAAAGTTTATAGCTTCCTACAGAAATGGCTCACATAAAAGAAATTTCACCAGCTTGCTCCTACACTGTGATATAAAAGTTCTTTTCGTATTCACAGATTTATACACCTTATTTCTGTTCTCATAACTTTTTTGACACTTATCCCAAGGTACTAATCAAACATGCAAGAATGATAAATAGATGAATTTTTCAAATGTGTGATATCTGTAATATATTATGATATATTACAATGTAAGATATTGTAAAATATTTTAAACATCTCTTTACATTACCTTTATCAAAGTACATGCATTCTTTAAATTACAAGCTTAATTCACAAAAAAAGAGTGAAATTTGTGGGTGAAGGGGAGAAGAAAAGCAAAGCACACTGCCATGTGTGTACCTACGCAACTGTCTTGCATACTCTGCTCATGTACCCCAAAACCTATAATCCAATAAAAAATTAAAAAAAAAAAAAAAAAAAAAGAGTGAAATTTAAAGATATTTGTAGAAATAACTATTTCCCACTTATTTATTTATCTTGGCAATAAGGACTTCAATAAAAGAGGAAAATTAGTTTCAGTGAACTGAAAAACAAAAGGAGATTATAGGTGTAAATGGAGCTCAAACTGAATCCCAAATAATGAATGAATATTTTTCCACTCCACATTTTAGTTAATTATCCTCAAATATGCCATCTACTATGAAAATGTAATTCTTACATTTTTGGAGATTTTAAATAGAGTATAAAATACAGAGAAAACTACTTATTATTTCTAAATTTCCAGTGCCATTTCTATGTTAAAATAATATTTATTCCAAAGCATGGTTTCTATATCCTGATAGTCTTAACTGATAACATATAAGGTAAAATAAATCCTGAAGCATATATTTTAAATATAAAAGTATCTGAGCTCTTTTCACAAAAATATTCTTAGAGTTTAATGCTTTTCAAAAACTCAAATTTTTAAAATTCATGTTAGAGTGTAGTGTGCTCAAGCCAGATTACAAATAATTTTCTCATTTCTATACCTATACTCTATTATTCATCCTACTTCACATGTTTTTCCTGTTCTCTCTTGTCCATCCCCATCTTACTTAACATTGATGGCCTACATCATATTCCACTTTCTCTGTGGAGCATTCTCTGTCAAAATAGTGCAAAGAAAACTGACTATTTGTCTACTATTCTGATATCTACTATTACGGTTTTATTACACTGCTGGTATATACTGATGGTATAGTAAATGCAGAATATATGAAAATGTAAGTGCTCTGGGGGAAGAGACTATGTCTTATACATATATTAAAGATCTATAAAAAAGCACTCATGTGTCAAAAGGAATTTTATGTGATGGTCTCCTGTCTGGTAAACTACAACAGAGTGATCAGGAGTAAAAGAGTCTAGAAACCATGTCTCATTAGGGGGAGTGTAGGATGAGGTCTGAATTTGGATTCAGAAACTTGGAGTTCTAGTCATTTTCGTTACTTGTGTACCTTGCACATCATTTCTTTTCTAGGCTCCATGTGTTTCCCCTGTGAAATAAAAGGTTTGATTTAGATGTGTGCTATGTAAAGTGTGGTTCCTGGATGCATGGGCCATAGCCCAGACCTACTGGATCAGAGTCTCTCAAGGTGGGGCCCTGAAACCTGCCTTTCAACAAATGCTTCAGGCAGGTGATTCTTACTAAAGTATGAGAAGCATTGATCTAGTTAAAAGTTTCTTAAATCAGATTTCCCAGAGAGTTGTCTGAAAAAACTCCGTGGATTCTACAATTCACTGAAACTTTATCAGAAGCTCCAAGTGTGTATGCATATTTACGTTTGTCTAGGGAAAGCATTTTACCCTCATTTATCTACTCACAGGGTCTGTGACCCCAGTAACATAGTCCCTAATCTAGACAATCTCTTAAATCCCCTTGTGGCCTCAGAATGCCATAGTCTTTTGTATTCTTCAGAGCACTTAGCACAGAGTTCATAAGTGTAGACCACCAAACTGTATGTAACCTGAAATATGTTTTTGTTTAGCTCGCTCAGTGGTTTTAACAAAGGTAGACATTTTAAAATCAGAGATTTTACATAAAATTCCAGATTTAAGATTTTCCTGAAAATTTTGCAAGGCCTCCTAACTCTTAATTGTCATTTCCAGGTGGTAGCAATTTTCTGGGGCTGATTAACGGCCCAGTTAATTCAGGGCGATGCTCCCTCCAGCTCTCCACAGTCCCTACCTATCCAAATTGTCCTCAACTTGAAGCCAAGGGGAAGTAGACAACTTCTAATTGTGTCTGCAGTGAAAATTTTTGAAGAAAAAAAATAAAAACTATTTTTGCTGTAATTACGTTTAAGTACAAAATATGATTGTTTGTGTATTTGGTCTGCTTCCCTGATTCAGTGAGTTAATTGTTTGGTCACATTTTCAACATGTAACATAGAGCTTTTTGCATGGTGGGTACTCAGTAATGGTCATCTGAGAACATTGTCAAAGTGAAATTTTGCCCACTTATATTCTAGTTGTCCTGTCCAGAATTGGGGCTTTTTCTTTTCTTTTTTTTTTTTTTTGAGACAGTGTCTCATTCTATTACCTAGGCTGGAGTGCAGTGGCATGGTATGATCTTGGCTCACTGCAACCTCTGCCTCCCAAGTTCAAGCGATTCTCCTGTCTCAGCTTCCTGAGTAGTTGGGACAACAGCAGTCACCACCACACCTGGCTAGTTTTTATATTTTTGGTAGAGATGGGGATTCATCATGTTGCTCGGACTGGTCTTGAACCCCTGAGCTCAAGTAATCCATGCACCTTGGCCTCCAAAGTGCTGGGATTACAGGCCTGAGCCACCGCTCCCAGCCTCAGAATTTAGGCTTTATAACCATTACGAGAGCACGAGTTTCCTAAGGCTTCTGTAACAAAGTGCTGTCAACTGGGTGGGTTAAAATAACAGAAATGTATTCTCTCACATTTAAAAAAATCTGTTTGTTTCTTTTTATTTTATATTTTTGAGACAAGGCCTGGCTCTGTCACCAGGGTATAGGGTAGTGGCATGATCATTGCTCACTGCAGTCTTGACCTCCTGGGCTCAAGTTAACCTCCTACCTCAGCCTCTCAAGTAGCTAGGCCCACAGGCATGCACTACCACATTTGGATAATATTTTTCTTTTTTTACTTTTTGTAAAGACAAGGTCTCCTGACATTGCCCAAGCTGATCTCAAACTCCTGAGCTCAAGCAACTCTCCTGTGTTGGCCTCCCGAAGTGTTGGCCTTAAAGGCGTGGGCTCACACTTGCCCTCTCTCACAGTTCTGAAGGGCAGAAGTCTAAAATCAATATATAGGCAGAGTTGATTCCTTCTGGAGGCTATGAGAGGAAATCTGTTTCATGCTCCTCTCCTAGCTTCTGCTGACTGTCAATAATCCTGGTATTTTCCTTGGCTTCTAAACACATCACTTAAATCTCTGCCACTGGCAGACATGGTGTTTTTCTTGTCTATGTCTTCTTTTTATTGTCTCTGATAAGGACACTCAAGATTGGATTTACGGTCTACCCTACATTCAGGGTGATGTCATCCTGAGATCCTTAATTACATGTACAAAGATGCAGTTTCTAAATAAGGTCACATTCAGAGATACTGGGGGTTAGGACTTGTATGTAACTTTTTGGGGTCACTTTTTAAATCCCTACACAAGGGTCTCACAGTTTTTAAACTATTGAAGCAATTTCTGCTGCATCTTTCTAACTGCTTCTTTCTATCTTCTGATCAGAGATACTACGTGGCAAGCTCTCGGCAAATCCAGAGGTTGACAGGAGCGTCCCGTTCTCCTGTCATTTCCCACTTTAGTGAGACTCTATCAGGAGTGTCCACTATCAGAGCATTTGGACATGAACAGAGGTTTATCCAGCAAAACAAAGAGGTGGTGAATGAAAACTTGGTCTGTTTCTACAATAATGTAATTTCTAACCGGTAAGTCCCATCAATATCTAGCCTAGGATCAGTCTCTCTTCTTAGATATCTTGCTCACTGACTTCTAAACAGAGTGTTTTGTAATGGCATTTCATCCAATTTTAGGAGTATGTATTAATAAGACAAATATTTTCTAGTATTTAATGTATGTTTAAATTAAATTACATCTATTCATATTCACATGAAAGGTACATACTATTTAATAAGAAAAAATGTCCCAAGTTGTTGAAAGGTATGTGGATACTATTAGAATTACTGATGACATAATTCTACATTGTGTTTTATATTTTTAGAAGATATTTTATTTGTATACACTGTTGTGTAAGATTTTTGGATTTGAAGTTATAAGCTTACATAAAGGAGAAAAAGGAAATATTAAATAGTAGTTGGGCACATTTCAATTTTTGGAGACTAATTTTATTATATTAAAAAGTGTATACAATTGTAAAGGGAATTGATTATCCAAAAGGATTTTAAAAATGCAATACATCATTTTAGCTAGTGTTTTCTTGCTTTGAAATTCTGAGGTCTACAAAAGTAAAATGCATTTTCATGCAGATGAATTTTTTCAGTTATCATGTGATGATCCTGTGTTTGATTGATTTCCAAGTCAGCGGAGGAGGAAAAAGAAAGTAGCTATTGCTGTTTACTTCTCGATTTCCCAGAGACATAGTACCAAGTGCACCAAAACTTTTTCATCTCAGTTACTCAGGAATATATTCCATTTATCACAGGTGGCTGTCTGTTAGACTTGAATTTCTTGGCAACTTACTGGTGCTTCTTGCTGCACTGCTTGCTGTGCTGGCTGGCAATTCTATAGATTCAGCAATAGTTGGTTTGTCTATCTCCTATGCCCTTAATGTAAGTAATAACGATTTTTGTGGTATATGGTATGTTTACAATCCAATAAGTTAAACACTCTTCTTCTTTGCTTGTCTGAATTATGGATTATGTTAACTAAATAATGAGAGACAAATCTGGATTGCCCTGGAGGCTCATTTCTTTCTCTATCTTGTTAGTAGCAGAAAGCTAGCTCAGCAATTCTAAGTTAACTTATAGGAAGAACAGGCTGATACTCAAGACTGAGTGCTAAAGGATCAGGAAACTCCTGCTATTCCACAGTTACTCAGAAGTTTCCTGCTCTCCTGTCCTGATGGATTTACAGAGTATTACAAGGGTAAGGTCCCTCTCCAGCACAGTTGGTGTACCTAATTTGCGCAGCCTAAGCCAAGAAGACAATGCAAGCTCTAGGGAGAACATATGTGCTACTTCTCCTTGGTTTGTATGTTTTTTTCTAATAAACCTTACTTGATATTACACTGCTAGATATACCACTAGTGTATTACTAGTGGTAGGACGCACACCACCTTTGTAAAATAGCAAATGCCCTAAACTGCTTAAGAATTCCACGTTATGAAGAAGGTAAGTCTAGATGATTTTGTTGTATATTCTTGGTCTCATATTCAAAAACCTTGAGCCAGTTGCATTTCAGAATTCAGAATTTAGGCTTCTGGAAAAGAAATATGTATACATCCATATCCAGGGCCTGGTTCAGAAGCCTATAATCAAACACTACTGTTTTTACAGTGAACTGTGTGCCTATACACCGTAACTGGATTAAGTAAATGCTTTGAAGAGCCCCATATCAGTTCAAGTCAGGTGGGCTATCAAATAAGTTGGCACCAAACTCAAGAAAAAATTGAATTGTACAAATTTTTTTCTTCTTTTAGAATTCTGTTGGAAGTTACACTCTTGAAGAGCCTACATTTGGGAATAGGGTGAGAAGAAAATATAGGTTTTTTTGTTTTTTTAAATGGGAAAGGAATAGTTTCAAAGTTAGGAGAATCTTCCTTCTGGTGGAAGGTAGTGAAGAATGCCAAAGTGTTTGCAGATGATTATTTTTTTCTCATTTAGTATGAACATTTTTTTTGAGGCACATCCCATCGATCTTGGCATGCATCATTCTTTATACCCAGTATTCACTTCTTGAATATACGCTGAATTATGGTCCATCTTCTGACAAATCGTTTCAATATTTATGATGTTAATGAGTGAAATATCCTTAAAGAAACACAGTATGTATATGAAGAAATACACTTATTTGTAGAGCTGCTAAATAAAAGTAATAACAGTATTTGAGATAGTATGTGACAAGTTCTTGGCAGATCCAAGAAATGAAAAGTGAAACTTTATTTAAAAAATTATTTGTATTACATAAAAAACTAAAGAACATGCATTATGCTCTTGTTTTCTTCACCATACCCCCTAGATAACTCATTCTCTGAATTTTTGGGTAAAGAAAACAAGTGAAATTGAAACCAATGCAGTTTCTCTTGAAAGAGTCTGTGAATATGAAAATATGGATAAAGAGGTAAGCACTCCTCCTGTAATCCTAGTACTTTGGGAGGCTGAGGCGGGAGGACTACTTCAGGTCAAGAGTTCAAGACTGGTCTGGTCAACATAATGAGATTCTGTGTTTCCAAAATATAAAAGTAAGCTGGGAGTTGTGGCTTACGCCATTAGTTCAAGCTACTTGGGAGGGTGAGGTGGGAGAATCCCTTCTGCTTGGGAGTTCAAAGTTGCAGTGAGCTATGATGGAGCCACTGTACTCTAGCCTGAGTGATAGCACAAGATCCTGTCTAATTAAAAGAGAGAGAGAGAGAGAGAGAGAGAGGGAGAGAAAAGAGACAAGCAGTGAGCACTCCTAAATAATCAATAAATGGGTTGGATGCAAGAGTAAGACACAGTAATGTACCATGAATTGCCATTTAAAAAAATAAAGTTTGTTTTTTTTTTAAATTTTTTATTGGATTATAGGTTTTGGGGTACATGAGCAGAGCATGCAAGACAGTTGCGTAGGTACACACATGGCAGTGTGCTTTGCTTTTCTTCTCCCCTTCACCCACATTTGGCATTGCTCCCCAGGCTATCCCTCCCCACCTCCCCCTCCCACTGGCCCTCCCCTTTACCCCCCAATAGATCCCACTGTTTAGTACTCCCCTATCTGTGTCCATGTGTTCTCATTTTTCATCACCCACCTATGAGTGAGAATATGCGGTGTTTCATTTTCTGTTCTTGTGTCAGTTTGCTGAGGATGATGTTCTCCAGATTCATCCATGTCCCTACAAACGACACGAACTCATCATTTCTGATTGCTGCATAATATTCCATGGTGTATATGTGCCACATTTTTCCAATCCAGTCTATTATCAATGGGCATTTGGGTTGATTCCAGGTCTTTGCTATTGTAAACAGTGCTGCAATGAACATTCGTGTACATGTGTCCTTATAGTAGAATGATGTATAGTCTTTTGGATATATACCCAGTAATGGGATTGCTGGGTCAAATGGAATTTCTATTTCTAAGGCCTTAAGGAATCGCCACACTGTCTTCCACAATGGTTGAACTAATTTACACTCCCACCAACAGTGTAAAAGTGTTCCTTTTTCTCCACATCCTCTCCAGCATCTGTTGTCTCCAGATTTTTTAATGATCGCCATTCTAACTGGCGTGAGATGGTATCTCAATGTGGTTTTGATTTGCATCTCTCTGATGACCAGTGATGATGAGCATTTTTTCATATGATTGTTGGCCTCATATATGTCTTCTTTCGTAAAGTATCTGTTCATATCCTTTGCCCACTTTTGAATGGGCTTGTTTGTTTTTTTCCTGTAAATCTGTTTGAGTTCTTTGTAAATTCTAGATATCAGCCCTTTGTCAGATGGGTAGACTGCGAAAATTTTTTCCCATTCTGTTGGTTGCCGATCCACTCTAGTGACTGTTTCTTTTGCCGTGCAGAAGCTGTGGAGTTTCATTAGGTCCCATTTGTCTATTTTGGCTTTTGTTGCCAATGCTTTTGGTGTTTTGTTCATGAAGTCCTTGCCTACTCCTATGTCCTGGATAGTTTTTCCTAGATTTCCTTCTAGGGTTTTTATGGTGCCAGGTCTTATGTTTAAGTCTTTAATCCATCTGGAGTTAATTTTAGTGTAAGGTGTCAGGAAGGGGTCCAGTTTCTGCTTTCTGCACATGGCTAGCCAGTTTTCCCAACACCATTTGTTAAACATGGAATCCTTTCCCCATTGCTTGTTTTTGTCAGGTTTATCAAAGATTGTATAGTTGTATATATGTTGTGTTGCCTCCGGTGCCTCTGTTTTGTTCCATTGGTCTATATCTCTGTTTTGGTACCAGTACCATCCTGTTTTGATTACTGTAGCCTTGTAGTATAGTTTGAAATCCGGTAGTGTGATGCCCCCCGCTGTGTTCTTTTTGCTTAGAATTGACTTGACTATGCGGGCTCTCTTTTGGTACCATATGAAGTTCATGGTGGTTTTTTCCAGTTCTGTGAAGAAAGTCAATGGTAGCTTGATGGGGATAGCGTTGATTCTGTAAATTACTTTGGGCAGTATAGCCATTTTCACGATATTAATTCTTCCTAACCATGAACATGGAATGTTTCTCCATCTGTTTGTGTCCTCTCTGATTTCGTTGAGCAGTGGTTTGTAGTTCTCCTTGAAGAGGTCCCTTACTTTCCTTGTGAGTTGTATTCCAAGGTATTTTATTCTTTTTGTAGCAATTGCGAATGGCAGTTCGTTCTTGATTTGGCTTTCTTTAAGTCTGTTATTGGTGTAGACGAATGCTTGTGATTTTTGCACATTGATTTTATATCCTGAGACTTTGCTGAAGTTGCTTATCAGTTTCAGGAGTTTTTGGGCTGAGGCAATGGGGTCTTCTAGGTATACTATCATGTCGTCTGCAAATAGAGACAATTTGGCTTCCACCTTTCCTATTTGAATACCCTTTATTTCTTTTTCTTGCCTGATTGCTCTGGCTAGAACTTCCACTACTATATTGAATAGGAGTGGTGAGAGAGGGCATCCTTGTCTAGTGCCAGATTTTAAAGGGAATGCTTCCAGTTTTTGCCCATTCAGTATGATATTGGCTGTTGGTTTGTCATAAATAGCTTTTATTACTTTGAGATACGTTCCATCGATACCGAGTTTATTGAGGGTTTTTAGCATAAAGCGCTGTTGAATTTTGTCAAATGCCTTCTCTGCGTCAATTGAGATAATCATGTGGTTTTTGTTTTTGGTTCTGTTTATGTGGTGAATTACGTTGATAGACTTGCGTATGTTGAACCAGCCTTGCATCCCTGGGATGAATCCTACTTGATCATGATGAATAAGTTTTTTGATTTGCTGTTGCAATCGGCTTGCCAATATTTTATTGAAGATTTTTGCATCTATGTTCATCATGGATATTGGCCTGAAGTTTTCTTTTCTCGTTGGGTCTCTGCCGGGTTTGGTATCAGGATGATGTTGGTCTCATAAAATGATTTGGGAAGGATTCCCTCTTTTTGGATTGTTTGAAATAGTTTTAGAAGGAATGGTACCAGCTCCTCCTTGTGTGTCTGGTAGAATTCGGCTGTGAACCCGTCTGGACCTGGGCTTTTTTTGTGTGGTAGGCTCTTAATTGCTGCCTCAACTTCAGACCTTGTTATTGGTCTATTCATAGTTTCAGCTTCCTCCTGGTTTAGGCTTGGGAGGACACAGGAGTCCAGGAATTTATCAATTTCTTCCAGGTTTACTAGTTTATGCGCATAGAGTTGTTTGTAATATTCTCTGATGATGGTTTGAATTTCTGTGGAATCTGTGGTGATTACCCCTTTATCATTTTTTTTTTTTATTGGATTATAGGTTTTGGGGTACATGAGCAGAGCATGCAAGACAGTTGCGTAGGTACACACATGGCAGTGTGCTTTGCTTTTCTTCTCCCCTTCACCCACATTTGGCATTTCTCCCCAGGCTATCCCTCCCCACCTCCCCCTCCCACTGGCCCTCCCCTTTTACCCCCAATAGACCCCAGTGTTTAGTACTCCCCTCCCTGTGTCCATGTGTTCTCATTTTTCATCACCCACCTATGAGTGAGAATATGCGGTGTTTCATTTTCTATTCTTGTGTCAGTTTGCTGAGGATGATGTTTTCCAGATTCATCCATGTCCCTACAAACGACACGAACTCATCATTTCTGATTGCTGCATAATATTCCATGGTGTATATGTGCCACATTTTTCCAATCCAGTCTATTATCAATGGGCATTTGGGTTGATTCCAGGTCTTTGCTATTGTAAACAGTGCTGCAGTGAACATTTGTGTACATGTGTCCTTATAGTAGAACGATTTATAGTCTTTTGGATATATACCCAGTAATGGGATTGCTGGGTCAAATGGAATTTCTATTTCTAAGGCCTTGAGGAATCGCCACACTGTCTTCCACAATGGTTGAACTAATTTACACTCCCACCAACAGTGTAAAAGTGTTCCTTTTTCTCCACATCCTCTCCAGCATCTGTTGTCTCCAGATTTTTTAATGATCGCCATTCTAACTGGCGTGAGATGGTATCTCAATGTGGTTTTGATTTGCATCTCTCTGATGACCAGTGACGATGAGCATTTTTTCATATGATTGTTGGCCTCATATATGTCTTCTTTCGTAAAGTATCTGTTCATATCCTTTGCCCACTTTTGAATGGGCTTGTTTGTTTTTTTCCTGTAAATCTGCTTGAGTTCTTTGTAAATTCTGGATATCAGCCCTTTGTCAGATGGGTAGACTGCGAAAATTTTTTCCCATTCTGTTGGTTGCCGATCCACTCTAGTGACTGTTTCTTTTGCCGTGCAGAAGCTGTGGAGTTTCATTAGGTCCCATTTGTCTATTTTGGCTTTTGTTGCCAATGCTCTTGGTGTTTTGTTCATGAAGTCCTTGCCTACTCCTATGTCCTGGATAGTTTTTCCTAGATTTCCTTCTAGGGTTTTTATGGTGCCAGGTCTTATGTTTAAGTCTTTAATCCATCTGGAGTTAATTTTAGTGTAAGGTGTCAGGAAGGGGTCCAGTTTCTGCTTTCTGCACATGGCTAGCCAGTTTTCCCAACACCATTTGTTAAACATGGAATCCTTGCCCCATTGCTTGTTTTTGTCAGGTTTATCAAAGATTGTATAGTTGTATGTATGTTGTGTTGCCTTCGGTGCCTCTGTTTTGTTCCATTGGTCTATATCTCTGTTTTGGTACCAGTACCATGCTGTTTTGATTACTGTAGCCTTGTAGTATAGTTTGAAATCCGGTAGTGTGATGCCCCCCGCTGTGTTCTTTTTGCTTAGAATTGACTTGACTATGCGGGCTCTCTTTTGGTTCCATATGAAGTTCATGGTGGTTTTTTCCAGTTCTGTGAAGAAAGTCAATGGTAGCTTGATGGGGATAGCGTTGATTCTGTAAATTACTTTGGGCAGTATAGCCATTTTCACGATATTAATTCTTCCTAACCATGAACATGGAATGTTTCTCCATCTGTTTGTGTCCTCTCTGATTTTGTTGAGCAG